GGTTTCTGGAGACGTGATGGGTGGAGCGTCAGGTAGAGACCTAGAGGGAGTTGAGAGTGTGTCCAGTTGGTTTGCATCACCACAGTGTGACTTTTGACACCTACAGGTGGTTCGAGGAGTCTTGAGACACAACCCCAAAATTCATACACACACACACACACACACATACACACTCATACACTCACACATTCACATTTACATATAGATACATGAAAAAGCAGAACATGAGAAAAAAGCATTTTAAAAGTTTACTCCAATGTAAACACATATTTTTAATTGTCTATCACTTGAATCTTTAGTTGAATCAGTATTTTTTGAGACCAGAAATGTTCATTTGAATTCTATATTGTCATGGACTTAATTGACCTCTGTCCTGACACTTTTGATTTGTTGATTTTGTACTGTGTGAAGTAATTACATTGATGAGAATTAGATCTGATAAAAACACAAATTAGAGAAGTAAACTGCGCTTGCTTTTTGTCTGAGAGACATTAGCAACAGCATGAATAGAAATTGTCTTTAAAGTAGAATCAAAGTGACTTAACCATAGAGAGTAACTATTGCATAACAAGCTGTGTACAGGAACTGAGACACTGCACCATTGACCAGAAGTGCATCGCAAATGACCTGATGTGCTTCAACTGAAAAGACTGTATCTGGAGATCTGATGTCCAACTGGAGAGACCAGAACCATGGCTTGGACCCTACTGATGTCCAAGATGACATCTCTGGAAATATGACCTGACCTGATGACGACTGAGACTCACCCTCAGAGGACCCTGAGGACCTGAGGATCTGAGAGAGAAAACTGGGGAGTGGTGTTTATATTATTGAAATAATGCCATTGATGAGTGCTAAATGAGAGAGATACTCATGATTCTTTCTTTTGTTTTTGTTTGTCCCTAGCTTCTGGACATCTGATGATCTATTGGACACAGCCATTTGCAGAACAAGAACCAGCCAATGAAAACGTCTATTGCCGATGCTTTTGCTACAACCAGAACCACAACTGTGACCAAATGCAATATACATGTTAAGTATTCAGACATCTGACAGACAAAAACTTTGAAAATGATAAAGTATAAGTATTGTAGCGTTTTAGTAGATGTTAAATAGTAGTAAAAAAGTAGAATTGTCCTTCCTTTGTTTTTCATAAACACATTTCCACATAAGAGTTAAAATAGTACCCTACAATGTTATCCTTTTGATAGATCAGCTAAAATATTAGAATCAGAGTTATGTTACAGCCATTAAAAGTGACAGAAGTCACAAATTAGGAATATGCCTTTGCTCAAACTGCAGCCAAACTTTGGAGTCACAATAGTGTAAAAATAGAGATAAATAGATGCATCAACCATAGATGCTTTCAAAAATAGAGAATATTCTTAGCCAGTGCTAATATCAAATGGTAAAGGGACCATTTCACAAGCATTTACTTCAAAAGTAGATAAAGTTAATTACAGTTTATGTACAGTTTTATTAGATACTTGCCAAATTCACTTGTGTTCAAACATGAGTGAATGTTGACTATGCAAAAAGTCCATATGAGTGTAGCCTAGATCAATGAGATAGATTACAACCAACAGAGATTCAAAAGCATTTAAAAGCATTTTGATGTATTTGGGTGTAGCACAAAAACACAATAGTAGATATTTAGATATTGAGAAGTTTCCAGCACAAACACCATTGTAGAATAACTGACCCCAACCCCAAACATGCTCAAATAGATTAGCTCTTGTATAATACTAATTTGATTAATGATGTACATTCATCCCAAACTGCCTGACAATAATATCTTTAGATAATAAAAAGTAATAAATCACTGACCACTATAGAAGTGTAAATGTTGACCATTTGCCTTACTGTGTTCACAGTTTTATTCCTGAGAATGAGAATAGACATGGAGCAAAATCCAACTGATAATAAGCCACTGATAATTAGAGTGTAAACCACAGAACAGAGAGATTTATGTGAATAGATTAGAATAGTTTTAAACTATAGTGATAATGAAAGTAAAGTACACAGTCTAAGATTGAAAAGTGAAAATAATACAGTGAAATAAGTGAAGTGTAGTGTAAACAATTATCATTAGAATAAAAGTATAGAGTAAGAAAAGTTAAATTAGCTTCTAATTTGAGACTCAGCTTGTTTTTGTCTGTGTTTTGACTGAATCTGCTGAGTTCTACTGTGTCCAATAGTTTTTGTTTGTTTTTTATTTTTGTTTGTTTTTATTTTTGTTTGTTTTTATTTTTGATTTGTTTTTGTTGTTTTTTGTTTATTTATTTACTTTATTTTTGATTTGTTTGTTTTTGTTTGTTTATTTTTTTTCCAGGATAGAGGATAAAATCCACTGATAATGATTTGATGATTATGAGTTTAATGCATACATTTTCTTTGTTTTTAATAATTTTTTAAAGTTTTTTTTAGGAATTTTTTATTTATTTTTTCTTCTTTTTCCACTTTATTGATTGATCAAATTGAGTGATCACATGTGATTATGTGATCAAAGGGGAGAGTATTAGTATTAGATAGCAATATGGCCTACGTGCAGGACTCTACAAGGACTCTACAAGGACTCCATGTTATGACTATGATTTGACTGTCTCTTTGTGACACGTATGTCTTTCGATGTGTGACGTGACAATGACTATATAAACTGTGTACTGCCTTTATTCTGTCTGAGGGAAAGAAACAGAGTAAACCAGTGGAACTTGAGAGCAACTTAAATAAACTTCCAGAGTTTGGCACACCACGATCCGTCTCTGTCTGCTTAAATCCTAACACTGTCATTATTTTATATTACTCTAAATATATCTAAATTACGTGTATAGTGAATGTATCGTTTTATACCACCAGCGCTACAAGAAGTTCATTGATCAATCACAACTAAACCATTATTAAAACAGCTGTCTATTTTAACAGTAAGTCATTTTAGAAATCTGTGAACCCGTTTTTTTTTTCTTCTTCTTCATGACAGAGATGAAATGACTAGTATTCAACATTTCTGCATTGTGCAATTCTACTCTTTACTCTATTAAAACCTAGTCTCTATGAAGAAGTTGCATTGCTAGAACTAGAACTAATTCGCAATAGTTAATAACAGCCCTATTTTGATTTTTGATGCAAACTGTCCTCCTGGGTATGGTCAAAAACATCCACCTGCATGTTTTACTTGGTAGTGAGAGTTGAATTGAACCAATCACAGGTAGGATATTGTTGCCATATAGTCTCCCCAATGGTGTCATTCGATGGAGAGTCGTTTCCCTAGAGTACAGCTCTGTCAACACTGAGTGATGCAATTAGCTGGTCCGGTAATGTGACTCTGGCTCAAAGCTTGAGGAGCAGTGGCAGAAGCGGTGGACACACACACAGACAGAGTCACTGCGACCTTGACTCTCCGTTTTCTCGCTCCAGACAGTTTGAGGCAGTGTCAAACAAGAACAGTGCAGCTTTAGAACTTTGAGCATGCACCAATGACAATTTAAGTCGGCCATGCAGAAGAAAACCACCTGCTAGCACAATATACAGGGTTTGTTTTACGAGCGAGACAAGGCAAATTAAAGCACAACCATTAGCATCAATTTTACAGAGTTGTGCAGAGTATTTGAATAAGGAAAGAATGGATCTTTCTTTATTCAAATACACTGCAAAACAGTGGATCTGGGAGAAAAATCCTCATTTTGGCTGATGTCGATTTTCTGATTCATTTTTTTTCTTGTCGAAATTTGATACTTGCGCGCAGGCAGGAGCAAACACTTATCAAATGTTGCATTCAAGCCAGACATGAAAGGCGAATGAAGAAAAGTGAAGACTTTGTCTCTGGCTCAGTTCTTTCTCCAAAACTGAGTTTAGGAGAAAGAATAATAAGTCACTGCCATGATTGGGGAGCAAATTCTCTAATCACTTTTGTTATAGTAAGATTTTTTTTTTAAAGATTGATACTATAATAGCAACTTTTTATCTCAACCCAGTGTGTCAAATTGGGGTTTTTAATTTGAAAAGTGGACATGTGACACAAACCACACCCAAACATGAGAGAAAAGAAGGCTGGGTTTGGAGCATGCAATTACTTGTGAAAGACTTTACGTAATTTTCCTATTTCTGCCTCAAGCCAGTGCATCAGCCGCTGCTCTGAGCTATAAATGTCTTTCAAGCTTGCACTTTGGCTCAAATGGTTTTTTTTTTTTTGCAACTGCTGTTATGTTTTGGTGATGCCATATTTGGAGACTCAAAAATACAAAATGTTACTGCATATTTCTGTGCACACAAAGGCTTGTAGTGTGTGTGACCACATTCTTTCAGCCTGTAACTGAGTCTGATGATGACTTTAGTGCTCATAGTGCCGCTAAATGAGATGTTTTAGCAGGCCTTCGGCCAATCTGAATAAAGTCTACTTTGTTCCCTGGGCCGACTTCACTGAAGCAACATTTTCAGACCATAAAGCTTTGCATAGAACTTAATGTAAAGTCCAACCGACCATTTCCTGAAGGGACTGTGTGTACTGTAGTACTCATAATTTTATCAGGCCTAAACTTTGAACACACTGTTAGATTTCCAACCTAAAAAAACCCGTACTTACAGAAAGCATCTAATTGTAGGCTATACGTCACATAACAAGAATGTGAAGCAACATGAGGAAGAGGCTTTGTACACCATACCACAATGCTGAATGTAATATTTCTTGATTTTAACTGGCTGGCACATAAACAAACTCTACTCTGAAGTGCAAAGAGTTTTTTATGGAATGAAATGAGAAAGAGGGGCAATCAGAGAGCATAAATTATTCATGCATGTATGAAGGTCGAGTGTTTGAGGTTAAGTGTAGAGGCGCAGTTAAAGCACTGTGTCGGTTCTCATTAGATCTCAATGAGAAGTTGTAATCACATTACTGATAGTCAGGCCGCACCTCACAATTGTCTTTGTGCAAAGCTTAAGTAATAGTCTCGTAAAGCCTAAGACACAAATAACCAGAAAGACATTGTTTTTATTAAGATACTCACTGAGAAAACGGCATTCTGGAGCCCAAATGGGATAGGTGTGAGTCTTGCTAAGGCCACAACTTTTAATCCGCTCCCTCCTTCCACCACTCGAATGACAGCACTCAGCTGTTCACTGTTCCCCACTTTGTTCAGGACCCAGTCTGACAGCAGCCGTTTACAAACCAGGTGTGCCACAAAAGTTCCAATCAACACGCCCACCATCACCAGCCCCATGCCCAGCACAAAGCCGTAGAGGTAGCCAGCAGCCACATTAAGGACAATGTAGCCCCATCCGAAGGGGAATGACACAATGATGAGGCCCACTATGAACAGCATGGCTCCTACGAGGCTGTCCAAGCTCTCCACCCAGAGGAGTAGGTCTTTGAGGTACTGCCGCACCAGGGCCACGGAGGAGAAGCAGACCAGTGTCAGGATGCAGGCCAGAAGGGCACTCTTAAAGCAACAAGTGGTAATGCAACATGGGTGTCTGAACTCTGCTGGGGGGGGTGCCCCTCCACTGTCGCCGAGGACATTGGAGTCTCCATCACATTTGCCCAAAGTGCCACTACCCCTCTCGTCAAAGGCGCTGCAGATCAGGATGTCGATCTTGTCACAGTCTTCAGTGACACTCCTCTGTAACCAGCGGTTGAGTTGGATCTGTGCTTTGCCCACAGCTTGTTTCAGGAGCTTGGAGAACAGCTGGACAGCTGTGCCCCCTGACATGGACATGCTGGCCCCTCAGGTCTGCCACAGACTGGGGGAACTTCCACAGAAGCACCTCTGTCTTGAAGAGTGTCAAGGGGAGATTGCGTTTCACAACAAGCACAAGTCCATGCCTTTCAGATTGAAAACATGAATAATTCTATGTGTGACTTTGCATTGTTCATGTCTATGTTAGGCAGCACATAATGGAAGTCCAATTATCTAGTGCCTGCCATAGTATCTATCTTGGATAAATAAGTTGAGTTACACGACAGTTAATGGGTTTACAACCTTCAGCTTTGTAGCTTTCAGTTGAGACACACGCCATTTCCAGTGAAGACATGTCCAAGACGATGTGCGCGATGGTCAGATCCAACAAGGTCCAAATATTTCAAAGCGAAGTGCAGCGTAAATGTCAACTTCTCTAATGATCCATAGTTCGTGTTCAGTTCAGGAAAGTGAAACCTCCAGCGCAAATCACAGCTCCGTAACTCCGTCTGTAGCTGACTAGCTCGCTACACCGTAGATGAAAGACCCGAGTGCATCTGTCCTAACACCGAACAGCACGGCCTCTGCTCGGGGTCTCCGCACACACTCGCCCGTAATCCCGCAGAAGAACCGTGATGTGGGCCCAGTGCGGCTCCAGCCGCCTGTATGTGCTCCAGTGTGTGCTCCCAGTGCGCACAGTGCTGTTGTTGTCGCTGTTGAACCCGAATCATTCCGACTGTGTTTGTGTCCCAGAATGCCAAGTACCTCAGCCCACGTGACCTGCTTACGACCGCAGCGGCCAATCCGCCCGGGGACGGGCTCTCGCGATATTTCAACCAGCCCCATAAGACGTAATAGTTATTTTGAACTAAATTGAGACTATACTTTTTTATCATGAAAGCAGATTTATATTACAACGTATGTAAATTGTGCATACAGTTTTTAAGTGTATATAGATTTGTTTTGTCATCAATTGTATTTTAAAAAATGTTGACAGATATCAAGGGCAGATATCAAGCGTGTATGTATGTATATCTAATACACAATCTATGGTATAGGCCTGTGAATGATATGAATTTATTTTTCCTATGATAAATATATAGTTTTTATTGTGTGAGATTTCTAGATATGCATGTGCACTACTTTCTTTTTCACATTCATCAGAATCAGAATCAGAATCATTTTTATTGCCCCGTAAGTAACAGGAAGTCACAGACTTGGAAATTGCTTTGGCTCAGTGCAACAGTCAGAAAGAGATAATAAAAAATAAAGAATAAAAAACTCTTCTAAGGAATACATTTAAATTATGTGTGCAATAGTACCTGGGGATTGGTGTTTTTTTCTTCTTCCTTCTGACAAGATTGTCCGGTAATCCATTTCTAAGAAAAACCCATGGAGGAGCCTGGGTTAATGTTAATTAGCTGCCTGGTTCTCAAATATCTGCAGATCCTTACAACTTCACCAGATGGCGCCATATTACAATATTATGGAACTTAACTTTCTGCAACAAGTGTCGCTTTCGTTCTTCGGTGCAACTATAAACACATTTCCAGGGACAAAGACGATTGCATAATATTAATTTTGTTTTGGTGGCTTCATTGATTGTTTAGATTATAGAATGTAAAACGTTCTGAAAATATATTGTTTATCAATCAGACTTCTATGTATAATATTCGCTTCAAAGTTATGGATTGCATTCTCTATGTCCAAATCTACTGGCTCAAAGACATTTATTTGACTAAGTAGATTGCATCGTAGGACCACAGACTGTGTATGACTGTGTTTATTGACGCTGACGTACGCGCGCTCGTGCTGCGGTCTGGTGGCAGATCATAAATGCGAGAGGCGCACACATTCCTGCACAGTTCACTCCTGAATCCGCCGAAAGAAGATGGACTGTAGCGACGAGATGCAAAGTGTGCCCGAGGAGCCCACCTCTCATATGGAGCTCAAGAAGGGGATGTCCATATTTATTGATGTAAGTAAACCGCCTCAAAGCAATAATAGTTCAAATTGCATGCATTTGAAGCTGATTAGAAGCACGTCACAATCTCAAGTCACAACAGAAGATTCTTCTCAAAGACACTTATATATTCATCTGCATGTTTATGGGGTTTTTATAAAGCTTAATTAGTCTTCGTGTTTTTGTATGATTCTAATTCTCTCGAAAAACCTGACCTTTCAGTTCGGTGCATGTGTGAAAAGATCAGCGAGTGGTCATTTATTTGATGTCAACGCCTCAAATGAGCTTGTATCAGTTTGACAAAAGGCACAATTAAAATCTAATTTATTTGCTCATTGTGTACAAAACCAATATCAGTCATCCTGCTTTTCTGCGTTTGTCAAATACTGAGTTCCCTATAAATTAACATCCAGATCCTATGGCCTTTTAATGTGTTCAATATAATGAGATTTTAAACATGTATATGAGCTCAAATGATTATTAGCACCTTATCATTTTCCATGGTATAGTTGGTTATCTGTGCTTTCAGTGTTTAGTGATTAGTTGGAAGCCTGATTTATTCAAGGCTGAGCAGGTGGCTTATGGCTTTTATTAACAATCACTTTCTTTGTCCAGTCATGTCAGCTCAGTCTGCAGAAAGAAACAAACACATCTTCTGTAGTTCATTAATCCCTATGATTACCGGACATCATTCATACGTTTTTTTCCCCAATATCTGCTTAGATTGCCCTGTCTTTGAAGATCACCTTTTTGTTAAGCTTTCTACCACACGTTCCCTCTGCAGCACTCACCTTCCTTGCTTAAACTAATCATTCATAAATTGTTGATTTTTGTGTGTGTCTCATTCCAAATCCTTGGTAGTTTCAGTGGAAGTTTGAAATATCTGATTTGTGAATATTTCATTACAGTATTTCCTGCAGCAGTACAAACAGTGTTCCCATTTGGCTCAGAGCATAAGCATTAGTTTTTAAATGTACTGTGATTATTTCTGATTTTAATGCTATTTTGTTTTGTTCACCACTTTGAATTGCCTTGTGTATGAATTGTGCTATACAAATAAACTTGCCTTGCCTTAACTTAAATGACATATTGTCAACAGTTGCTCTGATGATGCATAAGACTGATTGTGTTCTACCCATGCTTCTGTTTGTCTTTGTCTTTGCAGATTCTACGAAGAGCTGACAAAAATGGTAACTATCCTCAGAGCTGCTCTATTGGTTAGGCCTTCGTCAAAAATGCTCAAAACTATAAATCAGATTATGGCCAACAAATCAAGTCTATAAACAGCCAACTTTCAAGAAAGAACCAGGTTAATAAACCCACTAAATAAATGCATTTCTGAATAGCGCAGAGTCTGGTTCCCGAGCCCTCTTTGCCGATGTAGTTGTTCTGTCGCCTTGAACTCCTCATCACAGATGTAGTTTCTCACTTTATGAATTCAGCTCTCGACGCTTTCAGCTGATGCTCTTGTCAGTTTCCATGGCAACACTGACCAGGCCCGGGAGAGGTTCTGTTACGGAGCTGCTCAACACTTAGACCAGGGGACGAGCCATCTACCTTTTCTAAATCTTTAATGTGTTAAGTCCACTATTCTGGCTCAGCATTTTCTCACCTGCAGAGTTTTGGAGACACATGCGAGCACCCAGGATTTAGTTAATTTATTATGAATGAAATATTGAGTTGAAGGTTGTAAATCCTCTCATACGTTTTGGTGCAAGGCAAAGAAACCACTAAACTTTGTATTCAAGTCCTGTACTGAATCGTGATAGTGATTGAATAGTGAAGGCTCTAATGAAGGATAGAGCATAGGCCTGATAAGTTTTTAAAATGCATAATAATAATATAATAATAATAATAATACATCAAACTTGTATTGCGCTTTTTTGGACACTTAAAGATGCTTCACATGGGGAATAAAATAAAAAAGGGGGATCACGGAAAAGCTTGTTTGAACAGATGGGTCAGAGTTTCTAATGGGCAGTGGGAATGAGTTCCAGCAAAGGCAAAGGTCTCTGTCCCCCAAGGTCCGGCGGTTAGTGCGGGTGATGGGAGTGCGGGTGATGGGAGTGCGGGTGATGGGAGTGCGGGTGATGGGAGTGCGGGTGATGGGAGTGCGGGTGTTGGGAGTGCGGGTGATGGGAGTGCGGGTGTTGGGAGTGCGGGTGATGGGAGTGCGGGTGATGGGAGTGCGGGTGATGGGAGTGCGGCGGTTGGTGTCGGCTGAGCGAAGGCGGCGGGTGGGTTGGGGTTGCTGCAGGAGCTCAGTACGGTAGGACGGGGCCAGGTTATGGAGGGACTTGTAGGTGAGGAGAAGGAGAGTTTACTGGATACAATATTGAACAAGGATCATAGTGTCGTGCTTTACCTTCCGGTGTGGTGGAGGTGCGTGGGTTAGCGAGACACACGGCAAAGGATCTTCTTTTGTGAACTTTAATGAGCTCCAGTAAAAGGTATGTTACAAAAACAGCTGATAGTGGTCAGTCAGGATGATATACTGCGTTGCGGCCTCTGGCTCGGGTATGGACAGCGTTTGAGCAGTGTCCATGCGGTGGGCCATGAGCAGCTTGCAACAGGTAGAACTGAATCTCACATTTCGCGATGGTAAAACATTATCTAGATGATGAGCTGCATTCATGGATCTGACTTTAGGCTTGGAAAAATTAGCTTAAAATACAAAACTATATTAACTGTAACTCTATGCTTATGAACATAGCCTTACTTAAGCACCTCTGTATAATCTTCCATTCAAAATACGTTTCATAACCACGAGGACTCAGAGTTGACCCGCAAACATGTATTTTTTCCATCATACATAACTCCATTATCAAGAAGGGATTTGGACTGATTTTTATGTCATGAGCGATCAAAGTAAAGCTCCATCTTCAGAAGCTTTGTGCGATAATCTAGTCATTCACCAGATTCAATCCCCATTATCAGGGTCTCCGCACATCCTCAGCCTCATATGTAAAGTGCGCTCACGAACCCTTACCTCTGGAGCTGCTCTGACATCACGCTGCTGTGTCCCCAGACGATGGGAAGCTGTCGTTTGATGAGTTCAAAGCCTATTTCTCTGATGGGGTCCTGACATCAGACGAGTTGAAGGAGCTCTTCCACACCATTGACACTCACAATACAGAGTAAGTATGATTGATCAGCATAACGTCACTTTTGTAGTTAACTTTCAACAATATTCAAAATGATAGAAATAAAAATGGTTTAGTGCGTTTCCCTGTCCAAGCACTTAACCTCCGAGTCACCTCCTCATCTTCTCCTCTAAGTGTTTTCTCTTGTTTTGTCTCATTGATCGCTGGAGAACTGACGCATGCTTGGATTCAATATTGAAAGATATGTCACTAATAAATCCAAACTTCATCCACAAACAAGAAGAATTTCATTGTACATCGTATCAATCTTTCTATTAGAAATACAGTATCTTCAAATTGGGGGGGTACCTAACCTTTATGTTTCTGTGGGAAAAAATACAAGTTTCACCAAGAAAAAGTCCTTCCTTCGTGTAAAATGTGAACAAATCAGACCACAAAATGTTTCGTGTTATTATAAAACCTTTTATCTTTTGTATACTTTAACTGAGTGAGGGGGGTCCTCTCTATTTCAGTGTGAACAAGGCCAAAACATACATTCACGTAGTGTGCACCATCTCTTGCGCACTGGGGACTTTTGCAAATGTATTCCTATGTGGTTTTACTGCAAATGGTAAATTAAAAAAAATCTGAATCTGATCTCAAATCTAGTGATAAAACCAAACTTTTTTAGGGTAAAGAACTAGATACAGAGATCTAACCATTGAACTACTTACATATGTTAGGGAACCCTGCTTTAGTTTGAACATGAGCATTTATTTGAATATGTTTTATCTTACAGCAATGTGGACACTGATGAACTGTGTGGTAAGTCAAAAAAATGTAATTTGTACAAACCTGTAGATTTATCTTGAGCCTTTTCACAAGATAAAATGTTGTAAATATTTGATCTGTCTCACCCCTGCCTCCCTCCCAGCATTTCTGACAGATGTGATAGCACACACCCACAGCGCTGTCAAAGCCACTAAAAATACTAAAAATACATGTTTTTTGGTCTTTGTTCTCTGTAGAGTATTTCTCCCAACACCTTGGTGAATATGAGAACGTTCTGGCGGCTTTAGAAGACCTGAATATATCAATACTAAAGGCCATGGACAAAACAAAGAAGGTACGTCAGGTCATGTTTAGTTATTTCACTACAAAAGTCGCGGCAGGCTAATAAAACAACATGGAGGAAAGTGACAACCTGCGAAGACTTGAGAGTCAGAGCGCAGCCTAAGGGCATTTGTGACTTTAACACAGACAGGCTCAAGATAAGATTAGTCATTTTAATCAAAGCAACGAAGAGGTAAAAACATAAAAATATCCGTAAAACAACGAATCTTCAAAATGTTAAATTAATGTGCAATTTTAACACAAAACTTAATTCATTAAGACTTCAGTAAATAGGATAAAAGTAGAGAAACCTGAATGAAAGCCTGGTCCAATTCTTGTCTGCTTAGGCAAGACCATTCACTGAAGAATGGGATTGATTTGTTTTGTAGTTTTGAGTGGTGTTTTTTTAGTTGTATTTACATTATTTGGATGGTTAAATGTTTAAAATGAGATTGTTATTTATTTTTGCTTCTTTTACTGTTTTGTGTGTGTGTGTGTGTGTGTGTGTGTGTATGGTTACTCATATTTTTTGTTTTTACATTCATCTTTGTGACATTGATGAGTGTATAGACCCCAGGAGGAATAGCTACTGTATAATTCAGTAGCTAATCTTATCAAGATCAAGATGGGCGACATTAGCTCAGTTGGTAGAGCATTGGCCTTAAGGCCAGAAGGTTGTGGGTTCAATTCCCACCTCTGCACCTTCTCCACCGACTCCCACTGATGACTGCTGTCGTTGTGTCCTTGGGCAAGACACTTAACCCCACTTTGCCCAAAGCCCCCACTGAAAGATCAAGGCTATGCTCACACTCAGAGAGCAGCCGTCCTCCTGTGGACTCACCACCTGCAGAGGGTCAGTGAGGGGCTGGTGCTATGAGACTTGGGTGGCACCCCTGACTGCCACCCCCCTGACCCAGAAATGGATTAAAGGGTAGAAAATGGATGGATGGAATGGATCTTATCAAGATTCAGGATCTAAATAAATAAACAAAACAAAACAAAAAACACATCACTCACTCTGCCTAGTATGAGTCTAGCGTGCAGGTGGATGACTGGTGGTGGCTGAAAGAGCCTCATTTCCATCAGTCTGCCCCAGGGCCGTGAATGCAGCTGGTGATTAATGCAACGTGAAGCATCTTTGAGTGTCCTTAAAAGTGATATGTAAATTCTATTAATTATTTTGAAACAATAGACAGACAATGTATTTGAGACTTTAGCGTTGTCTGTGAAACACTCAACAATCTAAATCCATTGTAGAAGACAATGAACATAAAAACTAGGATGCAGCTGTTATCCAATACTCAATTTAGAAGCATGGCTAACTGCTATGAATGATGAACTTCACCCTGTAGTTAGTCTTCGGTCATGTCTTGTCATCTGCAGAGGTTTTTAAGTTAACACAATTTAAAATGTACGGAGTCAAAATTGCAGATTTCATCTCTTTCCCTACTTTGTCTATATTATTATGTGAAGGAGAAGTTCCACAGGTCTTTCCTTCCTGCTGCTGTCAGACTGTACAATAAGAACTGCTGAGCCTGTAACTGTCATTCATCTGTAAATAAGTAAATACGAAAACCATGTGCAACTTCAGAATGTCCACTGAACAATGTCACTTTACTTTATCTACTTGTTATCCTGCCCTACAGTATATAACTTCGCACTAAATATATATATATTTTTTGAAAGACTGGTATTGAAGCATTTCGAGTATTTACAGCTAGCTAAGAAACATACTGTAGCAGCTACTTACTTTGTATATTTTGTGTGCTCCCTGTGCGCTCATGTATGTGCGCTGCAACATACATGAGAGGACCAACAAAAGATCTCTTATCGTGGCGTGGCGACAGTAGCTCAGTTGGTAGAGCATTGGCCTTTGAGCCTGAAGGTCGTGGGTTTGAGCCCACCACGGGACCTTCTCCACCGACTCCCAGTGATGTCTGCTGTTGTTAACCTCTGGGAATACTGAATAGTTCAGTACATAATTGTAATAAGTGTTAAAACTGAAAGTAGCAGTGAAGTCCGACAGCTGGAGGACAATAGACTGTTGTTAAAAAGACAGTCTTCATTTGGCATTACTAGTTCTGTGACTAATTTAGTTTAATTAAATTAGTCACAGAAATTTGCTCAAATTGGACTCGGTTGTAACACGTCTGTTTTATTCACATTTTCGGACAGAGACATTTATAAATCTCATAACATTCAGTGTGAAAATGAAACAGATGCATATTGTGTTAAAATTGAGTGAATGTAGGTCTTGGTGTACGATTCATATTGGGATGTATACAAGTGGCACTGATGGATGCTGGAGTCAGAGGCCACATGTGGTGCTTGATAATCATTGGATGTGTTTGATTTACTCCCAGTGTGACCTGGTCTACTCACAGCACAAATGTCCCAGCATGCACCTCTGCTTCTCCACTGGAGTTGTTACACTTTGCATCAGTCCTTTTTGCCACAGAGAGGACTTTCTTCCATCGCTTTGTGACGATGGAGAAACATTGTGGTTGTGTTTCATAGCTACAGTCTCTGCATACTAAAGAGAAAAGCCTCCTGTTGATTTCAAATAGCGGAGGTTGGAAGGTGGGAACATGCATGCTGATCCCTGCTGCAGGATCACGGAGGTCTTGCCCGGATCCTGTGGCACAGCCTCAGATCTGCACTCAAGCTGCTTCTTCTGAAACAGCGTGGGAGGCGAGGCGTTCATTTGTCAGGGCCAGATTTCTTTTGAGCAAAGCATAATTGAATTCAACCTTGCTTCTGTAATACGTACATACATAGCAGCCAAAGTCACGCTATAGAAATAGGCCACGTTTCTTGAATGGCCCTTTAATCTTAACGGACATTTTAGGGAAAGTCTTCTGTAAAACCATTCAAGACGCCATGACACACTGTGCATGTATTACAATGTTACAGGGTCTCATCATTTGTGTCAGTAAAAAGTGTCGCAGGAACTGTCATTAATGTAGAGCATGTGCACAGTGGCTCTATGAAATTGCTTGATGTAATAATATATCCATTTTTTTACTACAACATTTCTAAAGAGTTGACCTACAGGAGCACAGCCTTGGTTTCCGTGCAAACAGAAAAATAGCCGGCAGATTTTTCCTGTATTTGTTCTGCAATCCTTCAGAGAGCTCAATGTGCAGCAAGCTGAAGAAGGTGCGAAAATCAAATTGCACCTCAAATCACTTTCCTGCTGGCTCGGCTGCAGAGAGAACAGGGCAGAAACAGACATGTGGATATAGAACAGTTAAAATGAGGCCATTGGATTATACTTTAATCTTTTTCTCTTTTCACATTGGATCTCCTCAATGTAGCACTGTGCAAACACAACAGAGATTTCTGAAAGTGCAATAACTTGGAATCCACACACTCACAGTGCTTTCATGCTCAAATTATAGGCAATTAGGAGAATGCAATGCCTGTGTGCTTCTTCCACAAATCAGAGGATTAAGAAGCACATCATGAGCTTCTGTGATGCGTGTGTCAGGTACAGACATTGCCATTTTAGTCACAGCCCAAGTCGTCTGCATTGAGCTGTAGATGTATTTGAGTGGGTGAGCTTATGTGGGAGGTGCTCTGTTCTATTGAGTAGAACATGTGCAGGCTTCAGGCACTGTTATACCGGAGTGGGAGCTAAAAGAGAGGCACATGCTAATATTTCTGACAAAGCTATTTACAGCACTCATAAACATACCGCCCACCAGCTTTTATCCGGGCGGAGCATGTCCCAGGTGCATCTCAATGACAGACTTATGCTGCACATGTGATGATTCGCTGATGTTTGTGGTGGATAGTGGGATGAGTCAGTGTGACAGTCAAAGCACTACTAAAAGAGTTATAAAATAGATATAGTTATTAAACTGCAGCGGCAGTAAGTCTTATTTGTTTAGTTACAAACTTGAGAACTGTGATGTTTCATCAAATCTCGTTTCTAGGAGAGTGCCCAGCCACTCTGGCCATGACCCGCTACCTATGATCATGGGTGAGGGTGGGATTGTAAACTGAATAGAGTTCACAATAGTCTAACACAGCATCCGCATCCTAGATGCAGCCCTGTCTGTCAATCTCATGCCCCAACTCTCACTTGTGTTGGAGATACTTGAACTCATCCTTTTGATGAGAAGGCAAGGCACCTCTACCCATTGTGTTAACACAGCTCTGGCTCAGCAGGGGGTCGTCCTGAACCTGCTTCAGCGTCTTTCTGTAATAGACTCTTGGATCTATAATAATAACGAATAGACTTTACTAACTGCATGAGCATTGCATTTTGACAGGGCTCTTTGTTTCTTTATGCAGTGTGAGGTCCAATATTTAGCTACAAAGGAGCCCCAGCTGTTTGCTCAGCCCTCTGAAGTGACACACACACACACACGTGCGCACGCACACAGACTCACACACGCACACTCTCACCAAGAGGCCGATCACAGGAGGTGATCTTTGCTCCATGAGAGAACACTGACCTTTACCAGTCTGGCCGAGCGTCTCTCCCACTCCTGTAGGTGCAGGTGTGCAGCAAATGCATGAGAATGTCACTGAATAAAACAATACAACCATGGGGGAACTAAGCTTTTAACACACACAGCTGCTGACATTTAGGGCAGTTTATTCTTAAGATGAACAAACCAGCAGCTGTAATGATCGCCCCTGAGAACAGTCACTAGTGTGCAGTCATATTGAAAATGGCACACGTCACAAATCTGCTTTGTAGTCAGAAAACTCTTTAGATGTTTGGTCATGTGCAAATCAAAGTGTCCTTCCATAATGTTAATAGAATTATTGAAAACACAATTTTCCTCCACTTTTCTCCAATGTGATAGTCATATCCTAATTTAGGTTGTATGAGCTTCCTTTCTCATTATTAAGTGAGGGAAACAGCTGCTGCTCCAAATAAAAGCCTTTTCCTTCACTTTTGATCACATTCACAACATTTTTAGGCCTGCTGCTTATGCATGAGCTTCTGGCAACAGCAGTCTGAGTCACAAATGAATATGAACTATTTGCTTCAATGAGTTGTTTTCAATTTATTTTTGGTTGAAGTGATGCACCCTGATCTAACGTCTACTCAAACACCACATGCTGAAATGTTTGGAGACAGACTGGTTTCCTTGACATTGATGAGTGATAAGTTTTAAAACTAATTGCTGCCTTGGGACAACCTCTCCCAGAAAGACCAATCAGTGCCCTGGACACTTAAAGTCTCTTCTATCACAGATTGGAGCGTGGGGTCGAGGTTTGATCCTTTTTTTGTAAAGACTCTGTTAAATGTATAGTAGTAATAGACACAAAAACAAAAATTATGCCCAGGTGTCCTCTCACTCCTCTCACAAATGTATATAGATGATGCATTTACTTCACTCCATAAGCCATCAGCACGCACTAAGCAGCTACAGTAGAATCTGACAGCTGCTTTGACATGTGTACATGACTGACTCAAGGACTCGCGCCTCCTGTTGAACACCAAAAAGCTATTTGCATGTATTTTTCAGAACCAAAAACAAAGTAGATCTAATGTTTTAACTTTATGGCATAATGTAGTCTCCGAATTTAGATACCAAAGGGTTTTCCTTTATCCAATGTTATCTTTCAAAAGTCCCGTGGTATTGTCCCGTGGTATTGAATATAAAAATCAGTCACATTTGAAACAACTTAAACATGAATCCTGGCGTGTTTTTAGTTTATGATCATTTCCAATATTGATTACTGCTAAACAAGTCACTTACATACAGTAATTAACCTAAAAAGTAGCATGTTTATTTTCCAAGGTCCTGTATTCCTTTGCCATTAAAGGAATCCATTAAACGTACAGAACTCTCTGAAATATCAACACGAGCCACCCCCAGAGGGGACCTAGTTATAACTCATATATAACTATACTATACTACTGCATGTGCAATAGTGTGATGAGTGCAATTATGTGGATTATCTGCATTATGGAGTGTTTGTCGTTCATGAGGTAACGTTGTGTGTGGAATGTGTGATCCTGTGGTTTGTTGTTTTATCTGCTGCACTTGTACATAGTCCCTTGTGACCCCGCCCCCTGGGATTTAGATGGAAATTAACCCTGGCTTTGGCCACAATCTGGTGTGTTTACATTCATTTGACCGGACCTTTTTGTTCCTTAACATTTACTAAATTAATACATACAGAATTTATGCATAAAACAAATTAGGAATAATTATTTTCAATGTCATATAATATTTTTAGTGTTTCATTGTAAGTACTTGTTCAAATCTTTGTCTTCTCTGAAAGTGCACCACTCGCTCTTGTTTAGTCAATTTGAAAGCATTTTCTGATGTAAGAGTTCTAAAATAGACATCGCTTTGAAAACTGGGAATTAAAAGTAGACTTGATTTATGCCTTTTTAAAGTCTGCATTGTTTGAGTGATTCTTAATGATATAATCTGTTTCAGTGACATTCACATTGTTACACTTACACAATGATCACAAAGCCTGATGGCACACTTCACTCCCTGAACATTGCATTGCAAAATGTAATACATATTCTTATCCTAACAATACCCACAGCTCTAAAAGTCTCTGTGAAACTTTCCTATTTTGGTTTCTGAAGATCAAAACATGTTTGGCTGTTCACACTGATGACTGATGTTGTAATAATTAGCAGTGTAATTGACTTCTCTGTACATAGCTCTCATTTCTCTCACCCCTTTCTCCTCCCGTGCCCCGTGCCCCCGCTGACTGACAGGACTATCAGGAGTCCACCCACCTGGAGCAGTTTGTGACCCGCTTTCTGCTCAAAGAGACGACCAATCAGCTTCACTCGCTACAGAGTTCGCTGGAGTGCGCCATGGAAACTACCGCCGAACAGACCCGACAGGAGAAGTAAGAGTGCATTGTTTGATGTAGGGACCGAGCACAATGGGGCAACAGCGTTCTAATTATATAGTGTTAAATACAGCAGCTGCAGAAGTCGAGCCACTCATGAAACTCAGGCATACGTATGACTCACACACATTTACTGTATTTTAGAATGTACAGTCCATCATTGAGCTGTGACCTCAGATGATTGTTGAAATGTTTTAAGAGTTTTGTATTTCACATTTTCTATTTTTGTGAGAAAAAAAAGTTGGTTTGTTTAAAATGTCTGAGCTTGAGATCTTGGTGATCACAAAAAATGAGACAATAGAACAGGGATGATAAACTTTAGGTACAGACAGATTCCCAAAACATATCAATGATTCTTTACCATTAATGAGTTTTGCATTTAACAGCAGAGAGGTGGTTAATCAAATTTGAATTATTGAATGAAATTTTCCAAAGTAATCATGGAAACTTGGACGAAGACAGAGAGCTCCTGTAGCTCATGAAGGTCCACCTCCTGTACTACTTCTTTACATGAATACTCACAGTAAGAATGTCTGTCATACCTGTAATGTCATCAGATCTCAGAAGCTAAGCAGGCTTAGTGAGGACTGTGATGGGAGACCTCTGGGTACCAGAGGCCAGAGCGGGGCGGCTGAGGCTCTACTGTGTTCCTGGTATGAGTCTGGTGCGTGAGTGATTGGTGCTGGTCCGAGCGGCTGACAGCTCTGATTAGGTGTTGATGCCAGAGGCGTATGATTCGTTGAGACATAGTCAAACAAATGTTACTCTCTGCGTGCATTATGTTATTTAATATTTGTGGAGACAATCAGGTCTGAGCAAATTATTTGCACCATGTTTGTCGGGAGTGAAGAGTCCACGGTGTACCACATTTAAAATGTATTTGAGCTTGTTATTACTCCCTCCAGAGTTAATGTAATCACCAGAGTTAATTAGTTAACTCAAAATGTTATTTACAGATTTTTCAACATTTGGATATTATTGAACATTTGTAGGAACAAATGATTAGATTTTATTTCGGATAACAGATCACAAGCAAAGCAACTGTGCCTCTTGGCAGAGGTCTGCGCTCCACGAGTGCTTTATGATTCTGTGGTTGATACAAACATCCTTGGGTTTGTCTTTTTTAGCACCTTTTCCAGTCAGGAATATTTGCACAAAAAGTTGTTTTGCCATAAATTTACCTGCAGCCAATACAAAACATATTAAATTATTAAACTGTTGCTCTACAAGAGCCCAATGAGGTCCAGGCACTTCCTCTTTTGTCGAACTGGTCTCTAGACTAATATAAAGCGACATAAAAATCATCTTCAATTATTTAGCGTTTCCTTCCAGTTTCCCTTCTCTCTGTGTTTTTGCCAAGTGCCAAAGTCCCTCGCATCATTTTTAGGAGCACCTGACACATCCCCCCAAGTGTCTGGTTACAATCTCTCACTACCACCATCATTGTTGGTTTAAATTTAGCTTTCTATGGTAAGTTTTAGATTATATTTATATCTTACACATTGTGAGTCTCGAGTGCAGAATCTGGAACAATCATTATCTGCCTCTAATCACAACACATTTCATTTATTCGGGGCTGAATATGAGTCAGAGTTGGCCAAAGGGGATGCCACCACTTCCTCCTCCAGGCTTCAAGCGTGCTGACAGATTGAAGACATATTTAATATCTGCTCCAACAGGACAATTAATGGTGATTGTTGTCAATAGAATGTGTTGTTTTGTGGAGTTGTGGTGTGGAGAGTTAAGTTATTACTTACTATAGTAATGCTAAACACAACATTATCTCATTAGGGGAGGCATATAGTTAGAGGATTGGTTATAATCAGATGTGTAAGTGAATGAATGAATGAATGTAAAGTAAGGATTTCCCTTTTTTCTGCCAAACATCATGAATAATAACACAAGCTTGATCAGGGCTGCTAGATTTCCTGTAATCACAATTGAATCACAATCACAATTAGTAAATTGCAAAAACTGCAAATATTCTTTGTAAGTTCTGTCCAACCAAAAATGCTAATCCAATCAAAATGTCTTGAATTTGGGAACATTAATAATGTATAAAATGTGAAATAGGGTTGCACACCACAGATCTGAATATAATAATTTTGTGAAAAAAAAAGTTTATTTATTACTTTTGCGGTATACTGTCTTAAAGTTATTTTTACTCTGAAGAAAAATATACATTGAAATAGCTAAGTTGGTCAGAAATATCGCAATCAATTCTTGCAGACCTGAGCTTGATGTTTGTTTTCAGCATAATAACAAATATCAACACCTTTTTTGCTACATCGAACACAGAAAATAGATTTTAGCACAAGATTTAAAATGCATCGCACTTGCCGTGTTGCTTTGTGTTCACCTGAGCGTCTCTGAGGTCCCTGGGGTCTCTTCAAAGCCCAGGTCTGCTCGCTCTGACAGCAGCAGGCTCAGTTCAACATCGTCACCTGCAGCTGCACCCACCACAGCGCTGCTTTCTGTTCACTTCAAACCAGCAAACCGCGCTCAGGGTCAGCCCAGTCTATACACGCATCACTCTCCCCCTACCACGCAGTCTAAAAGTGTGTTGACCCACGAGGTTTTACGAGAATATCTGGCAGATGTTCCCAAGTTCCATTCTGTGTTTGTATCTGAAGCCATTGGACCAAAGTGGAGACGCAGCTGATGTTCACTGTTTTATTATTAATGGACAAGCTGGAGTTAGGCTACATTTAGTTACCGCAAAATTAGAACAGCGGCAGAGGAGAGCAGGCCTCATGATGAACTGTTGTTTGTGAAGACAGGGTCCGGTGAAGCCTGAGGCGCTGTCCATCCAGTGGTCGGGACGTCGCTCCAATCGCAGACTTCAGAGGAACAGCAGCCTGTCGCCCAACAACCCTCTCCTCAGTCTGGTCAATTCAGGTCTGTGTTGGGATCCGAATCAAGTATTGACACTGGGGGCACCAACACCACAAAGCACACACACACACACACACAGACAAAAAGAATCAAAATAGCGAGACAAGACACAGTGAGGCACATATACAACTCTTAAAAGTATGATGAAGAAACTACGAAGGAGCTACAAAGAGAAGCAGATCTCAGGGCGCTCTGTTCAGTGTAGAATTTAGATTTAGAAAGGGGAATTGCAATCAAGCGTCTCTCAAGTCTACCATCTTTAACGTATATGATGAAAGGGTTGGAGACCTGTTTCACACAACACTTAACTGCTTCTGTCAACGTCAAACAAAAACAGTTATGTAAAAGTCTTTATAAATCTGCGAATCAATGCTTCAATGCGGAGGCGCTTACAGCATTTGTGCTTGGGTCCATGTTGCTGTTTTGCATTGAGAGTTTACTTGGCTTATTCAATATATTTTATGCTCCTCTGTTTCCAAAAAAAACTTGAAATCATGAACAAAACAAAAGACTATTGACTGCGTTTGTTTAAGAACTTATTGGCGTTTTGTCGGTATATTGTTGTAGCTTGTGGCGCAGTATTGATCGCGAGAATCCTGCTGTGTCTCATGTATTTACTGCTAAAACGCGAGTGTGTGAGTCTGGCACCAGACACTGTGTCCTCAGGTGTTGCTGTTACTTCAGCTTCACTTATCTGTCCCGCAGCTCTGGTCTGGATCACTGTAACTTTGTGAAAATGTAGGTTGGCCGTCGCTATCTGTTAGCAGAGAGTAACATTGTATGAAATATATATCTATAAAGGACCTATTGGAAAAGAGATGGATTAGCTGACACGTTTGTTCAACTGGGACTCTCTCTGAACACAAGATTCTAGGAACATTTGCTTTTAAAAACTGTCTGAAGAAGAATCTCAAGTCTCACATAGCAAACAACATGTTGAAGTTGTGTTTGTTCTCAATTTATCTACCAGCGTTTGGGACTTTAAAACTCAATTGTGCTTAGATATGATATTATTTAACTCATTGACTGCCAGACTTTTATGATGATTTCATTGATTCTCAAGACCCACAGAATATTATTTCCTAAGACTATGTAAAATATGAAACCAGATTCTGAAAGACTGGATGGTCTTCTTTCATCAGCAAAAATAAGTTTTTGTCCTGTAATCACCAGTCAAAAAAAGGGTCTCAGACAGTTACGTCAATGGCATTCAATGAGTTAACAAGGGCATTATTGTATTCAGATGGAAAAATTGTGAGTGCAAAGGTAGGATCCGAACAGCAGCTTAAGTAAAACAGATCTGAAGGTTTCTTTGTTCCAGCCTCTATTATGTCAGAGAGACTTTTTGTAAATGACACTTGTCCTGATATTTACCGCCTTTTATACTTGTGTATTTCTGTGTAAATATATACAGTATAGAGCAGCACCACACGCACAAGATGAATTTTCCCTGTGGAACAATACCATTTCTTCAGTGTAGTTTCCTTTAGTTTACCATAACCATAACTTTGTTTTTGTTTATATGCTGTCTTTTAAACCACTGCCTGAATGCTGAAAACTCTACATAGGCACTTACTGTATGTATGAGTTGGTATAAGGCCAACATGTTTCATGACCTTTCTAGAATGCACTTTGGAAAGAAAATGACATAAGATAGAGGCTCACAGAAAAATCAACCAAGACTAGACAAGAATGCATTAAAAAACTGGTTGACCTGCACACAAAACTTCTTATTATGGAAAAAAAAATCATATTGAAACATGAACTCAGATTGTAATCAAGCCTTGACCTTATTACAGAAATTTTCAGTTGTACGGTTGTGGAGACAGACAGCCACCTTAGTCCTATGTCTCAAAGCTCAATCAATCAATCAATCAAAGTTTATTTGTAGAGCGCCTTTCATACACAGGGCAACACAAAGCGCTTCACAGTCCACATCACAAATCATCACATAAAACAAACACCAGAATCACAATTAAAACATTAAAATCACACAAAAGAGAAAAACACAATTAAAACATTAAAATCACACAAAAGAATAAAAACCATTAAAACTTTCAAAATTACACAAGAAATTTAAAAAAATAAATAAATGACAGCAGTGCATTAAAAATGGAGATAAAATCCTTCAGTTATATGCACAGGCAAACAGAACAGTCTTTAACCTGGATTTGAACATTGACAGAGTAGACGCCTCCCTCACATTTTCAGGGAGATTGTTCCAGATCTTAGCTGCATGGATCTGAAACGCAGCCTCCCCATGTTTGGTTCTCACTCTGGGCACCAGCAGGAGGCCAGTCCCTGTGCTCCTCAGAGTCCGGGCCGGTTCATATGACACCAACATGTCACTAATGTATTCTGGTGCAAGGCCATGGAGAGACTTGTACACAAGCAGAGCCGTTTTAAAATCTATTCTTTGAGCCACAGGAAGCCAGTGCAGAGACCTGAGGACCGGACTAATATGGTCATACTTCCTGGTTCCTGTCAGGACTCTAGCTGCTGCATTTTGGATGTACTGCAGCTGCTTACAGGTCTGTTTGGACAGACCTGTAAGCAGGCCATTGCAGTAGTCTAGCCTGCTGGAGACAAATGCATAGGACAAGAATCTCCAAGTCTGCCCTGGACACTATATTTCTAACTTTGGCAATGTTCTTCAGATGGTAAAAAGCTGTTGATGTTATTGATTTTATGTGGCTATTGAAATTTAGGTCTGAGTCCAGTATTACCCCCAAATTTCTGACCTTGTCTGAAGGAAGTAGGGAGAGAGACTGAAGTTGACAAATGACGCCCTCTCTTTGTTTCTGGGGACCAAAGACAATGATTTCGGTTTTGTCTGCATTTAGCTGGAGGAAATTATTTTGCATCCAGTCACTGATCTGTTGGATACCAGTGAAGGAGCAAATCCAGTGGTCCATGTTCTCCTGCAGTCAGTGAGACATAGATCTGAGTGTCGTCAGCGTAATTGTGGTAGGACACTTTGTTTCTTTGTATTAACTGACCTAACGGCAGCATGTAGAGATTAAATAGGAGAGGTCCCAGGATCGACCCCTGTGGTACACCACAGGTCAGGGCCACATCATCTGAGACGCAGTCTCCAATCTCCACAGAGTACTTCCTATCCTCCAGGTAAGACCTAAACCAGTCTAGGGCTGTGCCAGTGACACCAACCCAGTCCTCCAGTCTCTGCATGAGGATCTCATGGTCGACAGTGTCGAACGCGGCACTAAGATCTAACATGACCAAAACTGTGACTTTACCTGCATCAGTGTGAAGTCGAATGTCGTTTGTTACCTTCACTAGAGCGGTCTCAGTGCTGTGGTGGGGTCTAAACCCAGACTGGAACATATCAAAAGAATTATTCATTGTTAAAAATTCAGTAAGTTGTTGGGAGGCCACTTTTTCAAGAATTTTTCCAATAAATGGCAGATTCGATATGGGGCGATAATTTTGAAGTCCCGCAGGATCCAGACTGCTCTTTTTTAGGAGAGGTCTTATGACTGCTGTTTTTAGGGCCATAGGAAATGTTCCTGACGACAGAGACATGTTTACTATTTGTGTCAGTGAAGGTAACAAACTGATCAGGACGGACTTCAGAAATTTAGAGGGCAATATATCCAGGCTACATGTGGAGGAGCTCAGACTCATGATTATCTTTTTGACAGTTTCAGTATCCACAGGTGCAAAGTGAGTTAGCTCAAAAAGCTTCTCTGGCTGTTGCATTGTTATACGTGCTGTGGAGGTGATAGTGTTTTTGATTCCTTGTACTTTGTCATCGAAAAACTGTGCGAACTCATTACACCTAGATTTAGAGGAAAATTCTAGGGGCAACTTTACAGGGGGGTTCGTTAATCTACCAACTGTTGAAAACATAACACGAAAATTGTTACTGCAACCTCCAATAATGTCAGAAAAATACATTTCTCTTGTTCTACGTAGAACCCGGTTAAATTCACCCAACTCATCTTTAAAGATTTCATAATCGCCCTGGAAATTGGACTTTCGCCACTTCCGTTCGGCCCTCCGGCACTCTTGCTTCTGTGCCCTAACCGAGTCTGCCTTAGTCCATGGGGCCTTTTTCTTACTGGTAACTATTTTAACCGTCACAGGAGCAATGGCGTCCAGAACAGTCAGAACACTGGTGGTGACAGAGTTATACAATTCATCAACAGTAGAGCATGGAGTTTTCTCAAAATTTAGCATTCCCATGAACAGTTCACTTGTGTTTTCATGTATGTGTCTTCTTCTAACATTTGTAAATTCAGCTGGTGGTTTGCTAGCAAAACACACATTATAGTCTATAAAGCTCACACATTATAGACTGACAAATATGAATCCCAACTACATCAAGCGAAAGAACAGTTATTTGAGTTACATCAGTACAGTATGGATCCCACAACAATCCTTGAAGCCAAAACGTTTTCGAAAATAAAAGTCAATGCGTGTGACTCCTTTCATCACTTCCCTCTGTCCGTGTGTAGGTGTTTTCGACGAGGATAGTCAGTGGATCATCCAGGTCAACAGACTGCAGAAGCTCATCGACCGCTTAGAGAAAAAGGTGAGGCTTCATTTACTCAACAGGGATTTGACCCAGATCACATGTGAGCCATTCAAAGTGGTGTTTATGGGACACAGGCATCTGAAAGACATATGAAGCCTTGAAAAAATACTATACCCAGTGAACTTTTTCCGCATTTTGTCTCGTTACGACTAAAACAAAAGGATTATTCATTGGATTCGGCCAACAGAAAGTAGTAGAAAATTGTGAAGTGAAAGAAAAATTATGATTTTTTTTTTTTAATCTGTGCTGTCCATGTTAGTTTGAGCGTATGGCCGTGTCTTGGTAGGTTTGCAGTGATGCTCTTCCCATTCCCGTTATGAAAATAATTACAGCATGAATTAATCTATAGAGGGAGTATTCCAAACATGCCATGAGCTTTTCAATTATTATATTTGTCTCTTTCTCCAAACGCCATCTGCTCTTTACATCTCTACTCTGAAATTAACAACAAATTATAGCAACTTGGTCCCAGCCCAGCATCAACATATTACTTCAGCCAAACTGCACTTGCCTCCGTCCCACACTGTTCATATGTGCGTGCAAAATATCAGCTGCTCCGATACTAAACAGGCTTCTCTCTCTCATTAACCTACATGTTTTACATTCATCCACACACTGAACCAGAAGAAATACAATCATTCACGTCGACCATGAATTAAACTTGCTCCATTTGACAGAAGGTTAAGAGTGGATTCTATGTATTTTTAAAGGTGACGTATGGCTGTCAGATTATGCTTTTTGTCTTACTTAACCTTTATTAAACCAGGAAAGTCCCATTGAGATTAAGAACCTCTTTTTCAAGGGAGTCCTGGACTTTTTAAACTATTTTTGTATCTGTGGTTCTATTTTTTGGATTGATTGGATGTCTTTAATTGAATTTCTTCTTTCTTCTTTGCTGACAATGTTCAAATCCAGGTTTAGAACAGTTCTTTTTAGCTGTGCATACAACTGAAGGATTGTATCTTCACTCTGTTTAATATACTGTACTCTGGTTATTTATGGTTTTAAGGACTTGTATGATTTTGATTGATTTTCATGTTGTTCATGTTTCATGAGCCTGTAGCTCGGGAGCCACCATTAGCTCACCACCCCCTTCCCAGTAGCTCGCCAATGGAGTTTGAAATGAACAAAACAAACAATAATGCAATATTTCAGATAGTACTACTCATTTTTCATTATCTATTACTGAAAAAAGCATTTACTTTGTCACTACTAACAAATATGTGAGGCTACATAATAATCAGGCTCGTTCACATCAATTTATCACAAGGGTCGTTTTAAGGAGTAGCTCTCTGCCTTTATCGTCCCGGGAAAGTAGCTCTCTGGGTGAAAAAGGTTGAAGACACCTGTGTATGAACTGTGCTATACAAATAACCTTGCCTGCAGTCCTTATATCCGCCTTCATAGTCTGCTTTAGTTTCTGTGTGTTTCTTTTGTACAGGACATTCGTCTGGAGCCAGTGGAGGAGGAGGTTTTAGAAAGTCCAAGTAAATCTGTAAGTGTTCTCCCCTTAAACGAATATCGCCATAGCAACAACACTGTTAACTTACTGCACGTGTAAACTGCTTATGGAAATGGATGGTCGTGTTTTTGATTGGATTAACTATTATGAAGTAGCTATAGACGGTCGTCACTTGGGAAATCATGGAGCTCGAGGTGAAATCTAACAACGAGCTCAAATGAAGGCACACGCACAAGCTCCACCGAGAGAAACACAGAACCTCATTAGGAAAGAAGAATCATTACCTGAGATATTGTGTTATTGCAAATGTTTAAGCTATAAAACAAGGCACACACATATTTACTTATATTATTTTTGTACAGGCATAATCAAGAGATACTACAATGCCTCCTCTCCTCTCCTTTGGTGAACTGGGATGTGTTCATAATCATCAGACAGATCAGATTCTGCAGATTTCAAAGTTATGTGAATTTTTTTCTGGTGGAGGACTAGCTTTTGAAATGTTCTCACCACTGAAAATACAGTTTAAGAGTATTTTTGAGCATGCATTCTCCCGTGCACGTGTCTGACAAATTAATGTGCAAAGTATTTCTTTCACAAACCTGAAAAGTATTGGTGATCACAAAGCATGAGGTTTCTCGATGATGCAAAAGCGTTTTCAGTCCGTGGTAAAACAAAATAAAATAACTGTTTAGATAAAGCAACACATGTTAGAGAAAAAGGGGGTCTTCATAGATTCATAGAAAGGTCCTCAGAAGAAAAGCTCTCCTGAATGGTCATCCTAAGACCACTGTGGGGAGGTGTAATTTCAGTGCTGTCCTTTCCAAGTGTAAAAAATGGACATACATTTGGGAATGTCTCATCTGTCATGGACTTTCTGTGACTTTTTAGAGGTAATTTATCTTTGACTTGTTTTGACATTATTATTAATGTGAAAGCAAAACAGAAACTGTGATTCATGTCCGACCACAATGAATTGTTTTGCACAAATGAGCCACCGCTGAAATGACCCCTTCAGAATCTCCTAAATGAATCAAGAGGTCGTGTCAGCGGTGTGTGTGCCAATACTCATCACTGTTCATAAGCTGAGGCGTTCTACATTGTTATAGAACAATGTGGTTTTAAAAATTTGCAAAAGTAAAATAAAGAAGATTACGTTTAGAAGGAAGCAAAGACACACACAAAAATCAAGAATCTTCTAAAATTATTTAATAGTTAGTTTAATAGTTATTGTCATTGGAATAAAAACCCTGACAAGCCCTGATGCAGCTCCACCAGAGACGCATCATTAGCGGCTGCTGCGGCTGCTGCGGCTGCTGCGGCTGCTGCGGCTGCTGCGGCTGCTGCGGCCGCGGGCAGAGCTCTCACTTCTGTTCACATCAGCAGCATTCGCTTCACACACATCCCCGTCAGAGATAGCACAAAAACACTGGCCAAGACTTTGGCCACAAAGAAAATGTTGCTTCTTTCTTTGGTTTTAAATGAACACATTAACACACATCTGTTCATATGAAACACAAGTCGTCTTTCGAGCTCCACCCCAGCAGGTGGATTGCATCAGTAATCAGTCCTTAGGAGCGACAAGTGTCACAGGAGGAAGATTCTGGCAACAAAGGTCAGATACTTAGAGAGCACATTACATTCGGCCCCTTTAATGTAAGTGTACTTTTGCTTGTTTTTTCACAGTTTGAGGTAATACAAATATGCATATTTTTGGTAAATATATAATAATTCTAGAGTAACACTATTTCCTGACAAGGCAGTAAAATGTGCACCAACGAGCAGGTGGTGATTCAAAACACTGCAGAGACTGAACATTTTTAGTCCACTTTAAAAGACTTGATCTGGTTTATTTGCTTCTTGACATTTACTGTCTGTATGTCTTAATTACTTCAGCAGCAGGTTTTGAACTGGCGTGAATGTTGTGTGCAGCACATCCTGATGGTGCAGCGGCAGCTCGTGGTCCTGGAGGACGAGGTGGACGAGTTCCGTTTGGCTTTGAGACAGTACATGGACAGTGCCTGCGCCCAGACCGGCTGCTTACAGTCAGTAGAATCATTCTTCATATTATAATATATCTTATTTATGATTCTAAAAAACAATTATTCATTTAAAAAAATATATTTGTCTTGTTAATTTCTCCAACCCATGTATTTGAATAATTTCTATACTGTAGTAAAGAGTGTATAGGTGAGTGATTCCAGCTCTACGCAGACTTGTGGCGTGTGAAGGGACACCATGAAGCCTCATTAGTGACTGGAACTCTCTTGTTTTGCATTTTGCAGCATCGCAGTTCAGCGGCTCGCAAATGAATCACGCTTCATTCTGTACGAGTTTTGGGAGCACAACAGCGTCTGGAAGAAGTAGGTATCAGCATCGAGGCCATTAGGTCCACTGCCTCTGATTGCTTCTCCATAATTAATTTCTGTTCTAGTGTGTCGGTGGTTCAGACAGAATTATTTCCCAACAATTGGACACTCATTTACATTCATCTAAGCAAATTGAATTTCTTAGCCTCGAGCTACAGCCCAATACTTCGCATTCACACCATTTGGCCAAATCTATTTGATTAATTATGTTAATTAGTTTAGCTTAGTTATTAATTAGTTCTTTGCCATCAACATTTCACAAACTGTGTTTAGAGGAAGAATGCCAATATATTGTGTAAGACAAAGTACTGTGCTGTGTGCAGCCACCTGCAGACCAACTACAGTAAAACCTTCCAAAGGTCCAACGTGGACTTTCTGGAAACTCCTGAGAGCCTCACCACGATGCTCGTCCCGGGTAAGAGCAGAAACACACACAAACTGAAGGGCACTATTTTGTTTGTCAATAAAAAGAGAATATTATAAATGTAAAAAAATCTGAACGATCACTACACGTTGCATCTATAGCATATGGATGAATGAGCCTCGTGACTATTTGGGGGAGAACTGATCGTTTGTATAAATGATGGTAATCCCTGATGTTCTTTCATCTCATTAGTAGTAAAACAAAAACCAGTGACACGTGCAAACGTATTGGTGTTGAGTGGTTAACATAAATGGTAAAATAATAATTGTACTAATTGACTGAGAATAAGGCATGTGAATTTGACTAGAGATACGTTTGTGAAAGCTAAGTTGCATAGATTTAGTTTTAAACAATGTGAAAATTGACCCCAGCTTTTAATAAGTAAAATTTTTGAGACATCGTTCAAGATAAACTTGTTTTGAATAAAGCTCTGGTGAATATACTGTATCTATTACTTGTCCATGTTGTTATAGGAGTGCCATTGGTCAATCTATTGTATAAAAGATAAATGTATTTGAAATTGCTGTTTGCCTGATCACATTATTGTTGTCCAGAAGCATTTTGAATTGGTGTAATATTGTCATGATAGATGGCAATAGTAAAACTGAAAATCTTCTGTTCTTTGTTCTTTGTTCACAGCATCATGGTGGGTCCTCAACAACAACTGAGAGGCCAGACACTACACACAAACACACACTCGCTCACTCACACACAGACTAACTCCACTGTTGTGAAGTCATGGTGTTAATTATCTATTCAAAGACCTCCATGTTCCTTCATAGTTTGATAGTTAGTTTAAGTAGATCATGTGTGTTTGTCATCACTATAGAAGACTAAAAGCAATGATCTCATAGACGGAGACGGCTCTGGTGACCTTACATCACCACTATTCACAGCCCAGAGCCGTTCAGGAGAAGTCAAGCGAGTGGTGGATGTGAGTGATGCGTTGGTGCTGAGTGGAAGAGATAAAAGAGGGAAATATGATCAATTGTAGCAGCTCATTAAGCTATTGTTCTGTTGCTATTGTGTTTTTTGTCTCATTAGAATTAAATAAATGCTATTTATTGTTGTCTACTCTGCTGTCACGTTTTGTTTCACAAGAATAATACAATTGCCTTTCATTGTTTGAGCTATTCAATCATGTTTTAAACCTCGCACATGTCGCCCTCTGGTGGTTATTCAATGTAACGTTTTCGTGCTATTTATAGATAAATTCAGTGGCGCCACCTGTATGTGAAAGCCTGATTCTGTAAATAAGCAAGTCAGAGCTTGGTTAGTAATGTGATGGGAGACACCTGGTGCCACAGTGGGACATAAGAGTGTTTTGTCCCGTCATGTAATTTTGGAAAACGACTGCCACCTTTCACCGATACAACTCAAAATCGCCCCACATCATCTAAACATGTGAAGCATCTAAAGGTTAGCTACAGAATTCTGATCAACCAGTTGCCATGGTGATGATGATTGACACTCACCATTCTGTTCAAAGGCAATAAAGAAAAATAAACTCTCAAATGTACACTTATCACTTCAAAAGCCCCAGCCTCGGTCGTTTCACCAACAGGGCTCAAAATTATCTCAAGAAGTGTAACATTAAAGGTTTCGATTAAAAGCTTTAGAATTGTGATCAAATAAACAGAGTGCGCGTGGCAGACTCGCAAATCTTTGTTATTTCCATAGACATGTGTCAAAGTTTCCCTGTTATTCAAAGGAGACACACACCCACAGAGAATATTCACTACAATTTAACCAGATCTGTGTTTCTTCCAATCCAAGGTAAGATAAAGGCACGACAGCACCTCCTTTGCGAGATGTGGCGAGGGCTTTTAGATGCCGCTTGCGCCTTTAATTACTTAAACTCTTAAGTTTAGACACCGTATAGGAAACACACACACATTCCAATTGTCTTCCATATGAAAAACTAGTGTTTGGTCAATCAAAAAGTCTTCCGCTGTATACATTTATTTTGAAAGAAAAAAAATAAAAACAGGAAAAGGAAAAAAATTCAAATTTTTTATTGATAAATTATCATTCTTAAAAAGACCCCAGATTCATGTTTACCCTTTGCCAAACTACACTTTCCACATACTGAATCTGATCTATATACAAAGAGCAGTTTTACACATACATATAATTTCATCACATTCAAAACAAGGTTAGCAGTGTGTTGACAAGAAACAAGATGATGTTATTAGCTTATCGCAATGTTATAGTTGTCGAGTGCAGGTCACTGGTGGTCATCTACAAGCAGAGGGACTTCTAACTCGCAGGCCAAACCATTTCCCAAGTTCCCAAGTTACTTTTGAAAACATGTCAGTATGAAAATATCATGCAATCATAAAATGCCATCTTTGCGAGAGGTAGGAGCCAACATAAAACAGTTATTGCTGTAAAATGGAAAGCTGCATGGCACAAAAAAATAAAAACGTTATTAATCTGACTAGCGCTGGATGTCAGGTAGCACACGGGGAAATTGTATATAATAAAATATCTGGTTAAAATCATTTAGCTGTGATGCTAATCTCCACAGGCAGGATAAGACGTGGTGTACTGTACTTTAATACAAGGGTTTACAATTGGAGCCAAACAAGCAGCAAAAACAAGACATAAAATTGCATATAATCAAAGTGCAATGAGTTTATGTTTCTTAAGTATCTTGGTCTGGGCAGTTTGGAGATACATAAGTGGAGAAAACACGGCAGAGATTAAGTCCAAAGGCTGCTAAACTATCCGGGCCGAGCTGATTCAGGCATTCCTCATGAAAGAATAAATCACAGTTATTAGAACGGGTAAGATTTGGGGGTTTCTGATCCGTCTGAGCACGCAGATCAAAACTGTTTGAGAAGGACAAACATCCATAATTCACGTCCTCCTCCGAGTCCTTTCTTACAATCAGAAAGATGAAAAAACTAAAACTCGATCTTCCAGTCCATGTTGAAGTTTCGGGTTGGATGCATTAGGCAAAGCTGTTCTCGGGATAGCTGACTTTGATGGCGCCCCAGTAACAGGCTCGTATCAGGCAGATGAGGCCCAGCAGATAAGCCAGGGCCCAGGACACGTAAGTGGCATTGTATCGACTGGCAAAGTCCCGAGTGCCCACCTGGAGAAATAAGAAAATCCGTCCATTTCGATATCTTTATTACTGCCACGGCAACAGCCACAGCAATAAGTCTTAAAGTATTTAGACTGTTCATTACTGCCCCTACTTTATTTGGAAATATGTCACAAAAAACGTATTGTTTGTTTCTAAATCATCTCAATAAGAAAGTAATTAGGCCTGACATATAAAGTTCACAGTCTGATGATGCAATTCTGGTGGTAATTTAACTTACATAGATACAATATTTACGATACAAGTAACACAATATGTAGATATACTGGATACTTACAGTTAACCCCACACCAATGAAAATGCAGATCATTCCTACTGTGATGTAGGCACAACAGCGCCTCCTGGGCAGTGCACTTCCGACGGACGATCTGGAAAACAATAAATATTATTCAAATTCAAGCAACAAGTAATGTACCGATAATGAGGACCCTGCGGTACTCTTGAACGTGCCATTAGCTGGTCACATGGTTCTAGCGTCATCAAACAGCCGGCAGCAACTGGTTTCACATTTCTTTTCCTTCAGTGATGGCTGGTGCTTTGCCTGCGCTCACATGCCCCTCATGTGACGGACTCAGACATTCTTCAAAATGCACTGCTTAGGGGTCCCACCATCACCTGATCAACTTTGTACTACTTTGTAAAACAAATGCATTTTCTGGTGGAATCCTCTTTGGAATTAGGTCAAGTTTTACACTGTGCCAAGTAATAATAGGCAAATAATTCATATTTTAATGGATATTGAACAAATAGTTCAAAGTCAAGAGTTATATGAATAATCCAGTTCATAACAGACTAGTTACGAATAATAATGTTACTAACAGTTATTGCACCTGTCCATTGTTACACTTCTACTTTCCCTCTGCTTGTTTTGAGGTCAGGAGCTAAGTCCTATCACACGTCTAGATTAGCCTTTTTCCAGTAAGTTCTGAGAGCTTCATCCGAGAGCCACAGCTTCAGCTGCACTGAAGGACTAATTTTATAAAATACACAATCACTTATCATTTGAAATGCATTATATATAAAAAAAAAAACACACAACATCTAATCATGTCTTAAAAATGCAAAGACAAACCCTTAATGTATTGACAAACATACAAGCCAAGTACATTTGATTTCACTTACATTTTTTTGCAGTGGGGACACTTCGCTAGTGTGTTAAACCGGAGCTCCATCCACTGTGAAGCAAACAAACACAAACAACTATAATAACAATTATAATACATTAAACGCATAACAAACATCAACACACTGCAAGCGATTTCTTTTTTTAAATCGTCTAATATCATCATTGGAAAAACTAAGATAAGTCAATCAAATTAAAATTGTTAGGATTTGTTAATAATAAGCAATTATCGTTAAAACCAATCACTGTAGACCTTTACACCCATCTGTGGTTAGAAACTTGTAACAGACAAAGTTCTTTTGGGCAGATGTGTACAAAGTGACTACGGTCGTGTTAGGCTCAGGTTAATAGCACCAGCGGAGACCTGTTGCTGCTCTGGGGGAGAGCCGTCGCTGGACAGGCCAGACATTGGCTGAGATGACTTGGCGTCTTCACTGCCCTACACCAAGTGACAACGTGCATATGTTAAAGAAGGTCCAGGAAATCTAAACATTGTGGGCATTAATTAATATTCTTTTGTAATATCAATTACAAATGTTTAGAAAACTGGTTTAGGCCCACCCCCAGTTTAGCTGACAACACATTAGAGTTAACACATACAATGAGAAAATCTTTCAAATGCAGAACATTAGATAAATACAAATAATATCAATATTAATGAAATTTGCTTAATGTCTCCAATGTTACATTACATTCTATGGGAGACTTTCATTTTGCTTTATGAGACTATGGTCGTGGACCTCCAACAGCCCTTTTGCCAATTTCAGTAAAGCTGTTTACTTTGGCAAATGGTGAGTTCTAAATATAACGTGATAATTATTTAGACAATCCTCAGCCCACTGTTGTCAAGTTGGCACAGTACAAACTACAGCGTGGACACAATTTTTGTGAAGGAGAGGAGCAGAATGAATTACATACTAGAAAAGTGTTGCCACAGTGGCCGCAGACGACTCTCATCCCCTCCGGCTGGATGGGCAGAGCTGGCTGAGCGGCCTGCTCCTCTGGGATCACCATGACTGGGCTAAGATTTATAATGCGTCTGCTGTGAAAACAAGATTAGCACAGTCACGACTTCAATGTAAACGTCAGCATCCTGGTTCTCAAGGCTTGTATTTCTGACTGTATACTCTGTATACTCTTATTGATTAGTGATTCCCATAAAGGATAAACTTCCCCACATGTAAACAGAATTAAAATATGAATTCACATTTAGAAACCATCTTCTGGCTTTGTGATGAGGTGTAACTTACCAGTTTGGCCGAGGACATCCTATCCTTCTGGATGTGTCTTTACAGATGAGCAGACAGTTACAAGGACAGCGCACATACTTCTTTCCGGTCGGGGGATTCTTGATCGGCTGCAAGAAAAATAAGTATTGTATGATTGTGACCAAATCCTTGCACCACAGATAAGACATAATTACTATATTGGCTTCTTCTAGGACTGTAACCATTCATTGCTTAATTATTGAGGTGAGATTATATTATTCAAAACCGCAAACAAGACTTTAGTTTATCAGGCTTAGACATATTTGCAAGCAAAACAACAAATCAATTACTCAAAAGTCACGAGATAAAAGAAGAAATATGACTCACTACTTTGTCCATTCAAAAGGATAATGAGGCCTATAACTTAATAAATAATATCTTCAGTGAAAAAAAAAAAAGAGGAAATAAGTATGAAGTCTGGTCCCATCCCTAAGCTACCACCAGAAGGAACATTTAAAAGTTACCGGCTGCAACCACTGCCATGTGATTTCAAAAACAAATATCAAAACTTAGTTTTAGGCACTACTTTAGCTTTAAAAGGCAGAAAACCATTGAGTGTGATGTCATGGTATAATTACTTTAGACAATCACAGGACTGAGACAGGAACTTTTAAAGAGAAAGGGTAAAGTTTGTGCCAAAAATTAATGATATTGCTTTTCGTGGCAAACGCTTAAAAAAAAAGGTGATTTTGCATAATGTCTCCTTTAAAACATTCATTAGTTACGGCCATAGTTTCCCCTTTCTGCCCCTAGGAGTCTAGGTGGAAATTTCAGAAAAATCAATAGTTTTGATTCATGAAAAATATATGAGCTCAACAGTCAGCTTGAGTCTATGCTTTAGGCTCTGGTGCAACACGCCGCCTTGAGTCTGCTCTACATTAGTGTGTAGTAATGATGGAATCTGCAGGAAGTTTACATCAGCCAACAATGAAAGGGACAATTCATGTTTAAACAGATTCACTAAAAACACAGTAAATTAAACAAGACAGTATATTTGTGTCCTCAAGAATGAAGTGGCAAGTGCAAAAGTCAAATCATAATGCAGTGTCTCGCTCACCGTAGCCTCGTTGCAGACCGTGCACTTGACCACGTGTTGGTGCAGTTTGCCATCCAGGTTAATGAGCGATTGACAGACACGACAGTTTATGACGGGAACTCCACCGGCATCAGGACTGGCGATGGCTGTGTATGGAGGAGGGAGCTCGGCAGGCAAAACTGTCAAGAAAAAATACATAAATACATTACCGTACATAAAACACTATTTACATTAGTTTGTGTCGGCATTTGTATATGATATTTAGTCTGATAAAAGCACTACAGTTTGAGTCTTCTTGACCTTCTCTGATCTACCCATCAAGAGGACAAGTAGAGAAAAATAATGTAATAGTATAGACATGTTTGCTGCACTCATTACTTAGGTAGTGTGAAAATAATCCTGTTCATTCAGTTTTCAGCTTAACTCTTGTTATTCTGTTCAAACTCATGACTGCAGATCTCATACTTGAACATGTGACATGTGGCAAAGTCATAAACTCCTACTGTGGAAATGGGAGACAAACAATGGGGTTGTAGGGCACCAGACTGTACCATCCTTTCTCTATCAGGCGTCTAACAATAAACCAAAGGCCAAAAACATTGCATTCTTTCTGACGGCATTACCAAAGGAATACAGGATTTATAGGATTTTATATGACCACAAAAGGAGTGTTTACAAAGCACTAGAGAAGTGACTCACCAGGCACAATTCTGAAATTCCAGTCTTTTTCAAATAACTGGATCGAACCATTTCTACTGGGTATTCGCTGGCATGTAACCGTGTAAACCGGATCCTACTGAGACTATTGGCGGCCAACAGATTCATTCAAGAGCACAGGGGAAAGTATTTGGACACATTATAGGTATTCACTCATTTTGTTGTTACAATGGCATGTCTCATAGTTTTGTTTGGTTTTGAGAGTCAAACTCAGGAAACACTGTTTAATTGTGCAAATTAAATTACATTTGCTGCAGCAGCTGAGCTACTGGTAAACAAACATCTGCATTAGCCAAAAGTGGCTTGCACAGTATACATGATAAAAAATGTTATTTCCAATTACTGTTCCAAAGTGTGAGTGCTAACTAGCTAACAGCTAGCTTGAATACGTTGTGTGCTCCCTGTGTGCTCTTCCTACTTTCCGATATGTGCGCTGCAACACATTTTCCCACTGCGGGATGAACAAAGGATCTCTTATCTCTTCTAAACTAATGCCAAATAGAATCAGTTTAACATACTACATTTTTGTATACTTTGTAAACGTAAGACGTAAGTCTTCAAGGAATTCACTTCCAGGTCAGGAGGAGAGCAGAAACTATGAGTACAGTGTAATCCAGCATTACACTTGGTAATCAGTCTGAACTCAGCTAATTTGTTTTTACAAATGACACAACAACTACTCTACTAAATATTATGTATATACTGGTAAGCATCTTTCAGTACAAACAAAACCATATTGGCCAATCAGAGCTATTGCCAGTGCTTACTGTATGCAGCTGCTGTACGTGTTGGCCTCACGCCCTTTGGCCCGGAGTAAGATGAGAAGACACTACTGTGAGCAGACAGCGCATGGGGCCATCACATCCACAGCAAAGAGCAGCTTAGATTTACAAACATCAGAATGCAAAAAGCTCCTTTACGAACTGGTCAGGCCCAAACATTTTTAGAAATACATACAGAAAGAAACCCATTTTAAAAAGATATGCCGAACATATGCCAAAGAATGGCAACATCGAGTAGTAGTAGTTTAATATGGGTGATTAACTAAAGCATGAATGGCATCAGGGCAGCATTTTTACTCCAGCTGCCCGACAGGAAAACCCCACAAACCTCCAGCTGAGTGATGTCATCACAACCAATCAATGCATTATCTGCCACTGAAGTGAAAATCAATATCCAAGAAATGTAGGGTTTTTTTCTTTTTTTATGTCAGATATTAGCTTCTTATCCTTTGCTGTTTTTGTGAACAACCCAACACAACTGTGGAATGTTAAGATGAGTTATTATAGAATGCTTTCCGTGGCTCGAAGTTGTGCCTGTTAAATGACTATGGACTGCATAAGTGGTGGATTCAAATTTCAACAATGAAATAATTTGGCAGCATTTAAGTAGCCGTGCATCTCTTTAGTTGGAAACGTCTAGCCACAGGACCTTTTGCATATTCTATAGACTCAACAAAAGAGTTACCATGTTTGAAGATAAAAGACTAGCCTCTTGACTCTTTCCCTGAATATAAAAACAATCAAAGGTTTTAGGAGATAATACAATTTTGCTTGTTATATGCTTTAATTAAATTGATTTGATGAGCAGAAAATGTAAAACTATGAATATATGGACATCAGCCTCTGCTGCAACATTTCCCTGACTCGACTTTTTGTGATTAACACTAACATGATTAAATCAAGCCTTACATTTCCAGATAAGCTTTTACAACAAAAGTCATTCACTCGTATCTGGATCAAATCAAAGTTATTCAGGTGCTGACTTATCATAAGGTTTTTATAAAATTGGCTTTTGGAGATAAAACAAATCTAAAAGGATCTTAAGATAAGATAGACTTATTGATCTCACACAGAATAAATGTACATGTGACATTTGGCATGGATAGAACCGCTCAGATTTGTGCAAAAGTATAGTATATAGTCAAAAAATATAGTCTGTTCAGGATATATTATGTACAATAAAATGGCAATTTTCATGCTGAATAGTGGATTTATAGGGATGTGGTTCTCAGAAGAAGCACTAATAAAATAAAATACATATATATTATTATTATAACTGCTATTACATACACCGGGAGAAGACATATATTTGAGGTCATACATTATTTTGGAAGCCTAAAAAATATATAAACAAATATGTAATATGTCTCATCCCTGAAGCCTGCTATAGGATAACCAAAAATTGGAAATCGACTCAATATTATCATAAATAAATATGTTTAATAGGTTTCCAGTAATTTAAATACATTTTTTGAGGTTTCACCTTTGTTGCTGAGAATTATGAGAATTTCAACATTAGGGATTAAAAGATTTGTCACAGACAGAAGTGAACTGAGAACAATTTTGTTCTTTTCCCTTCTCTCCCGTTAGCAGAGCTGTAATTATAAAGTTGCAGTATTAAATGTGACCGGATAAAATGTTGCAGGGATGAAGCACACACCTGACTCAAAATCTGGGATTTTCGGGCAAATAAAGGCCTTTTCAGACAGCCCTTCTGCAGTTTCATGTGCTTAATAGTTCTGTCTGATCAGCTGCACCTGCAGCAGCAAACAGTCATATTTTCATTTGTTCCGTTCTAACAATTTATATACTTTGTCAAATTTACATTAAGTGTATAATGCATGAATGGGGTACATTTGTTTCTCTTAATCTGCTTCATAGGCCAGACACAATGACCTACATCTTATGGACTCACAATACAAAACTAACGAAGAGCATTCTAGTTTATAGAGAAATTGATGGGATAGTCAATGCCAACAATGCAGTCAGCTTCTAATTGAAATAAAATGGTCTTCATCTAAAGGTCAACAGTTATCTGCCCAGTTAGTGCACAAGTATTTATATTATGAATTATCCTTTGCAAAGTCTAGTAGCACATCCAGTCCAGTGTTAAAGATGGAGTATATGAGGAATAGTCTTTATTTCAGTATAAATCACAGCTCTGTGTCAGTATCAGTCGCAGGCCCTTCATGGCTCCTTGTCTTCCCCACTGCTCCAGTTCCCAACACAGGCTCCACCGTTTCAGCGGGCGAATACATAAACAATTACAGCTTTATTTATACTCCACTGCTATTTATTTACGAATAACACCGACCAGCGCTGCGTGCCCATGATTCAGCAGCGCGCACATGCAGAAAGCCTCCTCCACCATGGTCTTACCTCGCGGGCTGGAGGCTTCGAGATACGGGGGCGCATTGGGGGTCACATTCTCCGAGTTGGGGCCCGACAGAAGCGGGGAGCGTTCGTCCATTCCGTCTGAAGCCATGTCGGTGTCCACGACCCCCGTGTCGCTCAGGTGAAGCCCGTGGGAGCAGCGCGGCGGACAGAGGCGGCGTGTTGTTGGTGCCGAGGCGAGCTCCAGCAGCGCCACTGACGTACAGCGTGAGGGGCGGGGCCAGAAGAGTCCACGCCCCCAGATCAGAAGCCATATAAATCAAGTGATATTTATACATGTACTCTAATATTGTGAAATATCAGATGCAGTTTATTCTTTTTGCCAAATTGCATTGCAGAGTGGTTTAAAGGAACAGATGTACAATTACACACAAAAAACATAATCCACCGGATTAAATTAGTATTGTTTTGCTAATCATATTCTCTAAAATCTAAATAAATAAAAAACCATCTGTAAATGTGAAAACCTCAAGACTGCTGCTGACTCCATAAGTGCAATTATACTTCGAGTTTATTATCTTATTATTTTTATGAATATTTTCCCCAAAACAGTTCAGAGTGTTAGATTCAGATATGAATCAATTCAAAAATAAGAATCAAAATTGTTCATTTGTGTGTCGAGTTCCGTTTGTGCCCAGCAACAAGTGTGTCCTTTATTAGACTTTAAGACCCTTAAAATAAAGTGCATTCTTTCAAAATAAGTACTCGTGTTGGGGGCAGTCATGGTTGAGGGCAGGAGTCTTGAGTTAGAATTGATGTAATACCAGTTTGTCCCACGCGATGTCACCAGGGGACTGTGGCGAACCAGTTTCTTTTGAAGCTCAGTCATAACGAAAATCTACATTTTTTTCCGGATCATGGAAGGTCCTTGACATAGACATACATCAGAGAGTATCATCATACTAAAATATGATTTGATATTAAATGTATAAGTGCATGCTATTTTCATATAAAAAGAAAAAACAAAACAAAAAAAACATAAAAATAAAACATAGAATATTCAATTATTATTGTTATATTGCAGTTATGAAAAACAGTGAATGGACTTGCATTTCCACGAACCAGACTCCTTCTTGTCCTGCAGCATGGACAGCTCCTGCTGGTTTCCATTAAAATATTGTTCCTCTCGCAATTCCTCTCGGGATTTTAACACTATAAAGAACGTTTTGAAGTAAAATTAACTGTCTAAGTCCATTCCTTAAAAACATATAATCAATTAAAACCTAAACACTGCTGCAGATTCCATCCCGAGATATTTTTCAGTTTGTTCGCCTCATGTGGAGTTTTACTCTCCGCTTGTTCCACTGTTTGTTTGTACTAAAATGTCTCATTCCTGGATGCTTATGTCAGGAAGTCTGACTGCCCCAAGACACTTATTCAATCTGACTATTCAGAAGGAAGGCATATGAGGCAACAACTTGTACTTTTGGATATAGTTACTATGGTAAAGTTTTAAGTGGATTGTTTGGGTGGCTGGCAGGACATGTTTTGGACATAGTTCAAAGGCCCATAAATTCCAAGGCATCACACCTCCTTCTCTTGAAAACTCCATTCACAAACTTGTAGCCGAGAGGCTGGGTATTGCAGTAAAACTGAGAGCAGAGGGAGGGACCAGACTCATGAGGTTTATACAGTCTGCTCCATTACATTACTGTGCTGAGTTCGGAACCATTTCTTAGGAGTTTGCAGATTTAGATGGAAAATCAGTAAACAGTGATTCAGATTGGAGTACGTGTAAGAGGCTGCAGTCATTTTTTCCAAATCACTTCAGGATCCACAACACCAGCACAGCCTCACTCCCAGCTTTACTGCAGAAGGCATTTAAAGGTAAGATTAACAGCACACTGCTAAATTACTGTAATTTTAGATTATTAGATAACATTCTAAACAAAAGGTTTGAGAGTCTTCCTAACTTCTGAAAAGAACCTCCTCTTTTATTTTGTTTAACCTTCATAAGTCAACATGCCAGAAGAATCTCAGGGGAAATGTTTTAGGTTAAACAATAGACCGAAAAAAATGTAACTGTTACATTACAACAAAAACAGAGTTTGCTTCTTCAGAAACACGATTGCATGCCGACTGACCATCTACATAAGACATCCCATACAGTCAGTTGAACATTTCTTTGTGTTTTTAAAGTGTGGATCTTCTCTTCTGAGATGCTGTGGTTGTCAGAGAGGCCGCTCTCTCTGTGCTGCTGCCTGGTCATAGGGCTGTGCTGCTGGGCTGAGGACACATCACTCCCAGAAGGTTCTGGAGAAGGAGACTTTGAAGAATGGGGATCTGGATCCTCGTTTCTCCATTCGCTCAACAGTTTTCCAGCAGACAGTCCATTTTTAACAGAGACACGAGGGAGCCAAGCTAACTGCACTCAGCGCTTTGTGCTGCCCTCTGCCCTCAGCCTCTGTGGGGACCATGTAGCAGGACCAGAGGAGTTCCTCCAGTCCCGAATGCTGCTTCTGCAGAACAGAGCAGCGCTGCAGGCCGTGTCTGACTCCAGTGGAGTGGAGGAGGGAGGTCCCTCGTATGAACTCCAGGCCCAAGACGAGGTCCAGGCCATCCACGCAGACCACCAGAGTGCAGGAGAAACAATGCTGACCATGGAAAAAGTCTTTGTGTCTTTGGAGGAGAAGAGAAGAGAGGGCACAGAAGACGGAGTCCTCACGAGGTGAAGAGTTTTCTTTGAACCACAATCAGATGCATCAATATTTTATTGTATAAATACATACATTGAACATACTTATTCATATGATTAAGCAAAACCAAAAAAACACAGATTAACCAGACTTCATTGTGTGCATCATTTACAGCATGAAGGAGCACCTCATCAGCACCAGAACAGCCATAGACGGCAGACGAGCCGTCGCATCAATCCTGGAAACAAAGTTTTCAAGTTTGGAACAAACTTTGATGAATACGCAGCTTCGAATCAACAAACTCGTCCAGTAAAGTCACAAGTTTGTTTATGTTGAGCATATTTATACATGATTAATGTATAATTGAAAAGTTCATGCATCACATAAACCAGTTTTTGTACATTTTTACTGTACATGGAGAGTTGACTGTCAATGCCATTGCCAGCTTCATTTATAAAGCACATTTAAAGCTGGAGTACCTAACTTTGAAACCACAAAATATTAAGCATATAATAAATACCTTAGTTCCTAGGTTTCAAAACTGTTTGGGTCAGTTGTTCTTAACATGCATCGTGGCAGGTTTCACATCATTAGCTGTGAAAAGTTATATTTTATGAAACCAAAAAGGTACCCCAGCTTTAAAAACCCAAAATGATGTGGTTCCCATGTACATTTGTCAATACATTGACATACATTATTTATCATTATAGCTCAAAATGGTTTCACAAACTTGTCATCAGTTATGTTTGTTTAAATAAATAACTATGAAAGCAAATATATATTTGATTTAAGTTTTATCAAAACAAGATTGTAGACATTATGTGAGCAGCACAGTAAACGTAATATTTACATAGAAATCAAGTGTGAGATTGACGAGCCACAGCAGTGTATCACATATTGAGCAAATCCTCAGCTTTGGTCACAAAATCTTCACAAAGTATTTATTTATATCACTCGAGTTAATCGTTCATGAAAGACCACAGTTTAACCAGAAACAAGAGCCAACACGTGTTCTCCAGCTGTTTGAATCATGCATGAAGTCTCCTTTTTTGAGGCGCCAAGCCACTGTTATTCTGTTTAATTAAATTGCTACCATTACATTTTCAACTGTAACAAAGAATGAATGACTTTAAAACTACCAAACAACGTCTGCAAAAATAATACCAGATGATTCAAGGACTGAGCAGTGAGCACTAATATGTTTTAAACAAGCAATGTCACAGTTATTCCATATCACTTAGATAGCATTAGTTTCAGTGTGCTAACATATTATCTCTATATTACCATTAGGACAGACAGAAAGTTCAAGTTCAATCCATTTCAAAGACAGGAAAAGAGGTGCGTATGTCTTTCTGTTCAAATATCTCCACAGTTCAAAAGTCTGGGTTCTCTTCCCGCATTTCTTCCAAAGATTTTAAATAATCTCGTGCCAGGATCTTCTTTGGAAGGATATCTGTAGAGAGGATTGTGGTTGTTACTCTGCGTTAAGATAGAGGTTAGGCTGGTCTGGGTCGAGGAGTCTTACCGGTGAGGAAGTGCAATGTCTCGGTCTCTTCTGCAGTGCTTGCCAGGTCGGTGTAAGACAAAGAGTTGGTGTCTTTGCCTGAGCCTTTGTTGAATGAGGACACGGCCAGATGCTGCACAAACAGCTCCTGCAACAACAGCTCTGTTAGCATTATGGAAAAAAGCAGTAGCATGTTGTAAAAATACTAAAATATGATACAAAATATCAAGTAACATCTGGATGAGTTTGTACAATTAGCCAGGCAGTTTAGTCCTGCACGGATTACATTTAAAATTCTTGTGCTTGTTTATAAAGCCTTTCGCAGTCTGGCACCTTCAAAATACTTAGTTTCAGATCCACAGACCTCAACCTTCTTGGCATTTGTTGTGTAAAATTGAAACGGGAGATAGTTTTCTCCCATTAAGCTCCTTATAAATGGAATGGTCTGCCTTGTCACCTCATTCAAGATACTTAAAAGACAGCATGTTTGAACTTTCCTTTGATCTTTAGATGTATCTGTACAACACATTGTATACACTCAGGCCGCCTCTACAGGGAACCAACTAAAAATAAGAAAAGATATCTAATTCTATATAAACCCTGCTACCCATATCTGTGAACCTCCTGAATGCAGGCCATGGAGCAGAGCGCTGATGCTTATGTCTGTGTAAATATGTTTTGTTTTATGTCTATCTTATGTGTATTTTTCAATGTAGCAGCCTTTGAGACCAAGACAAATTTCCTACAGGACATAATAAATTAATCTTGAATCTATTTAATATGAGAATGTCAATGTCACAATACCACATTTACACCACCAGCCCAAAAGTGCTTCACACAAACAAAAGAAAATAAGAGAAAAGAAAACAGCTTTAAACAGGGAGAAGGGTCAGATTCTGTAGTAATTTACATACAGTAATAGTAAAGCACAATACAAATAAATGTAACTACGTCCTTCATTCATTATCATTAGGAGTGATTCGTAGCAAAACAAGTTTCAAAAGTTTCATCTGGACAAGCTGGAGGCACTCTACCTGGACAAGGCAGGTTTTGTGGAGAGGCATGCACACACACACACACACACACACATTGGGGACCATACTCGTAGAAAGATGCATCAGTTGGTTTAGTTCCCATGCTAACTAGGAGCTATCCCCTCGCCGTGCACCGCAGGGGCTAGCACTAGATCCAGGGGCTAGCATTGCTCATTGAGGCTTACCGTGGCCTTGGTGGTCAGGAACAGAGCCTCCTGGTTGATGCTGGACACATCCGGGGAGCTCTTCATGATGAGGCGGACTCTGGAGATCGGCAACGAGATGCCCTTGTTCTTGTTGGTAGGAGATCGGTCCTCCTTGTCATCGTTGTTTTGAGACATCTTCATGAACTCACGACACTCGGCGCTTGTTTTGAACTGTGACGTCAGACGCTCTCTGCAGCGCGCAGGTCTGCAGGAGTCCACAGCGCCCTCTACAGGACACTGAGAGAAACGCGGTGAGATGATTTGTGTTTGTGTCTGTACTTTTTGTATGTTGATTATGTTTTGTGCAAGACAGTCCTTTTGATTTATTACTGCACTTACATACCGAATAAATGAATAATAAAATTTTAAAATGTTTGATTAAGTGATGACAGACTTATATTTATTTCAAATGTAATACTTTGAATCATTTATTTATAGATGAAAATGATCATAAAATATCTGCCTCAACAAAGCAAAAATAAAGACATAACACAAGCACATGTCCAGGACAAAAAGAAAAGCTAAACTTGTGTGCTGAGGACATCTCCAAATAGCAGTGAGTGAGGAGCAACAATCTTCTTTCCAGCTGTCAGGCCAGCCAGGAGAACCTTTTCCGACACTTTGCATGTATAAAACTAGAAATTAGAAAAAAAATATATGTTATATTTTAATTAAATATGAATAAGCTTCAAGTAACACCGTTATGAAAAATGCCCTTTGAGAGGCTTTTGACACGAAGATAAGATAAACCTTTATTCGCCCCTCAGTAGGGAAATGTACTACTATACCTGTATATTGATTCTACATATTTAATCAATTAAATGATAAAGGAAGCAACATTGGATGATGTTCATGTTACTTCTACATACGTCTTTCTACAGACCGGTAGCAGATCAGTACATCTGCATCATACACACATCTCCAGATAAAAAACTTGTATATAGTAGTAAGTTTAAGAAATTGTATGAAGATTATTTTATGCATGCCCATTCCCTTACTACTTCCATTCATCCATTTTCTTCTCTTACTCCATTTCTGGGTCGGGGGGTGGCAGTCAGAGCTGCACCCAGCACACAGAGCACCAGCCCCTCACTGATCCTCCTGCAGGTGGTGAGTCCAAAGGAGCCCTGATCTTTCAGCGGGGGCTTCAGGCAAAGTGGGGTTCAGTGTCTTGCCCAAGGACACAACGACAGCAGTCATCAGTGGGAGTCGTGAAGTAGGTGTTGTGGTGGGCTCGAACCCACAACCTTCAGGCTCAAAGGCCAATGCTCTACCAACTGAGCCACTGTCGCTTACCTTACTACTTACCTTACTTTATTCTTACAACTTGTTTACACCTTGACTCAAAGCAAATTCCAAAGAAAGTGATCTCGTGTTACTTACCTGGCAATAAACATAATTCTGATTCTGATTCTGAGTACATTCCCTCAGTCACCAGAGATGGCGCTCTCGTGATGTGCTGCTGCAGTGTGGAAGGCGGTGCTGTAGAACACTCAAAGAAGAGGAGACTGAAGCTGTAAAAATGGCCACGACTTTACTGCACAATTTGCCTGTTATTGTTATAAATTAACTACAACCATAGATGCAAATGCTGTGGTCACTTAACGCGGTGCAGGATAATCGTCAGTATTAGGCCTTTCACATTAGATCTTTTATTTGAAGTGCTGCAGGAGTCTTCATAGTGCTGGGTTCACTTGTCATTTTACTGGAAGCACTTGACAACAAAATGCCACTCGGGATAAAACCATGCTGTGCGGTCTGCAAGACAAACTCTTCGTCCATGTGGAAAAAGGGAAATCAAGGAGAAATACTTTGTAACAACTGCACAGGGAAAAGCAGCATCAGCGGCACATCAGGACCTCCTCTGTCCACCACAACACAACCCAGCAATGGCGGGGGCAAGCAGGTGAGGACGTCATTATGATCACTGAACCGCCATGGACATTGTAATGTGGGATAGACTTTTATTTGTCATGTGGTTGTGGAAAAAACATCGCAATATTACATTATATAGCTGCATTGTCATAACGAGTAATGAACGAATATCGGTCCTATAATAATAATAATAATAATAAAAATAATAATAATAATTGATAAACAACAATTTTTTACTCAAAATATGTTGTTATGGATGGTACTACAAGATTTTATTCTAGTTCAAATCAATTCACGTTTGTAGTAACCGAAATCACACCAGCATTGTCAATTCACCCATAGCACATTAGAAAATCTAGTACAATAATACTGTATAATATTGTATTGTATATACTAAAAATATTATGTTTTCTTGTGATGTGTTTGTCTTATCCTGGACCATGAGTCTGTAATAAAAGTTTGATGATGATGATGAAATGAGGAAATGCAAAAATAAGTCATTGCTCCATCTTCTGTCCCCCCCACAAGGAAAAACTAAGAAACTTCTAATGTAGTTCAAAATAGATTTTTTTAAATGCTCACACTTTTTAAAATGTTGTCCTGTATATTATTTGTAGTATTGACACTTTCTTAAATGAGTATCAATTATTTGTTATTTTATATGTTATTACTGGTTACATGTCTCTGTGTGTTTCAGTCCAAGCAGGAGATACACAGAAGATCTGCACGTTTAAGAAGCACAAAGTACAAGGCTCCGGCGTCTGAGAAGAAGGTCTCCACAAAAGGAAAAGGGAGAAGACACATATTTAAACTTAAGAATGTAATTAATAACTTTAAGTGGGTACGAGTGTTTCTTTTTAGACCATGTTTTTTATTATGTTTGTCTTCTTTTCAGCCAATCAAAGCACCGGAATCCGTTGCAACATTTATTACATCTGAATCAGTGTTTTACAAGGTATGAATATATTACTATATTTTTGTTGCAGATGTATATTTCAAGGTCTAAGAATTGACCTAAATGACCTAAAGAATGCAACTGCACCTCATGAACCTACAGTATTTACTCAATTTATTTCAACTGGTTAAAGGGTTTTAAATATTTTTTAAATGTACAGCTGAAAACATTGGAAGACCACTGTTTTATGACAGCAACAAAAACAATTGTGCGTTGTTTTCTCAAGGGGGTGTACTACCAGACTGGAGATGTGATCAAAGTAACGGACGAGGAGGATGGAAAAGCGTATTATGCTCAGATACGCGGATTTGTTCAAGATCAGTATTGTGAAAAGAGTGCTGCGCTGACATGGCTCATCCCCACTCAGTCCAGTCCAAAAGACAAGTTTGATCCAGGAACTTACATTCTTGGTAAGACATACTGTTTAGTTAGTTGTTGACAACATATACTGTAGGAATGGTCTGCTGATGTCACCCATAGTTTGCAGAAGAAGCTTGTTAGAATTAGAAATTCCAGGGGTGGGAATCTGGAGCCAAATTTGGGGATGGCAACAACCTAGCAACCAAAGGGGCAATTAGGACTGGTATGTTCTTGCTGGCAACAATTGGGTGCCAGATAACAAGTAGTGACATAGTTAGGGATCATTTACATAGACAATATTAAAATTAACTCCAGGATTATGTGAAGTAATTAACCACTGCTTTCTAAGGCCAAATGCTGAGTGCGACACAAACGTTTACAGATTAAAGGAGTTTGCTTTTCAATGTAAAGCCTTGTTTTTACCAACTCAACTCTACTTGGCTCTACTTTACCTGGTTGTGTTTACATTACGCTTTAGTATCTGGTTCCGTATCCTGGCATACTACCCACAACAAACCAGTATTCAGGGAAATGCCTTGGGAACCATTTTGGTAGCAGGACAAACACTAGTACCAACTCGGCCTGGATAGAACCAGGACCAAGCTGCTACCAAGAGGTGAAAGAGGGCTGGTTTAAAAGCTCCCAATAAGGGCAGGGCAGGACAAGACAGGGTAGAGCAGAGCAGGGCAGAGCTTAAATGAATGGGAGCCAAAGCTAGAAAGAGCAAGCAGCATTGTCCATTCCTATTCACAATCTATAGTTGACAATTGAGCCTTTGGTGACCTTGACCATTGTTACAGCCTATACATGATTAGTTTGTTCATGGATTGATGCGTTTCTGTCTTAGGTCCAGAGGAAGATCTTCCCAGAAAGATGGAGTATCTGGACTTTGTGTGCCATGCGCCCTCTGAGTACTTCAAATCTCGGACGTCTCCCTTCCCAACTCTTCCCATTCGTCAAGAGAAAGGCTACATTTGGACACACATAGGACCAACACCGGCTATCACTGTCAAGGAGCCCATCAGTGGCACTTGCTGAAAGGATTTAGATACAATGGACTGAAGCTTTTTTTAAGACCTTATTTTGTACATTTGACATTGACATTTGACAAACATTTTTATACTGCGTGAAAGAAGGACATGGTTTGTACTTTGATCACAAACAGCAGAAAGAAACTGAGCACAGTATGTATAAAAGAACAATTACTATTAGACTTTTTTGTAAATATTAATAAACTATGCCTTTAAAGTAGGCTATCCTGTTTTGTTTTTTATATTGTGGTGATATTGGTCATGTTGGAGAAATGTGAACACGACATTTACACCACTATGCTCTTTACACAGTAGCTGGGTTTTGTAGCTCTGGATCTGATTTATTATGTAAATACCTGAGTTGTCTGTTTATGCTCTGGTTTTAAGAGGGAAACTTCATGAAGTGTAATTTGAAACTCCACTTTTTCCCCCCCTCCAAGCAGGAAGCTCTGAGCAGAAAGAGATCTTGCAGAGCGCACACTCTCTAGGATCACTCCCTCATCTGAAATGCTGTGAGCGTGTTTGAACATCCACTGGTCCTCATGGGGTCTAAATATTCAAATTGATTTAATTTAATGACAAAGAATGGAAGAGTTGTCATTTTAAAAACAGCCATGGGAAAACTTCACTCCAAACTTTGTAAGTCTACATGTTTTTTCCATGTAAATATGTATATCTTGATGTTACGTGCAACTATTTTTAATTACATGTGTCTTTTGTTAAAGCCTCAAAATGTAGACAGAGCCCTGAAGGTATGGCTTTGGACTTTACGGAGTCTACTTTACTTTGAATGCAGTTTCAACAATGTTTTTCTTTTCATAAATGTTTTCTTTATAATAGGTGGTGTTCTTGCCTCCAATTTGTTGAACAGCCAGAGAGAGGTGGAACGCATTCCTAAAAGCAATAAGGAAAAGATCTCAATAGTGAGTTAAATATTCTTCATTTTGTATTTGTTGATTGTACAAACAGGCTTCTTAAAGATGAATAGTTGAAACCCATTTTACATATTGTTTATTTAATTTAACCATAGACTGTACACAATGAATGGTCTATGTGCCACTGCCTCCAACTCAAACATCACTTCTCATTTTCCTGAGGTCTTGTCTGGCAGTAGGGAAAATAACACATGACATGAAAGCACTCTTAAGGCTGCAGCTCCAAACCAGACTGGCTTCATCTTACTTTGGCCAGTTTTTGGATAAACACTATTCGCCCACATCACATCCAGGTAGCCGTCTATTTATTCTTCCACCCCTTTTCCTCCACTGACTCTATAAAGAGACTTTGGAGTTTGAAGTGCAACTCTGTCGACCCCTCCAAAACAGCAGGCTCTTTATGCCCACATCTGGTACCACTTTTCCCCAGAACGACCAGACACCGGCTGAAGGGCTTAAGAGGCTAATGGATCAAATGTAATGGTCCTTGGATTGTTTCACATGGCGTTAGTTGAAATAAAGATGAAGTCATTGGACCTGGTTTTTAAAATGTACTTTCTACTGTATTTATGATAATCCTATACGCTTACACTAGGGGTGCAACGGTTTGAAAAAATCACGGTTCGGTTCGTACCTCGGTTCAGAGGCCACGGTTCGGTTCATTTTTCGGTTCATTTTTCAAAAAAAAAGTGTTGTCTTTTTAATAAACACAGCTCATGTGGACTCGGCACCTGCTCTGACTGCCCCCCCTGACCTAGAAATGAATTAAGGGGAAGGAAATGGATGGATGGATGGATGGAATATTCCATCCATCCAATTATGTCTATTTAACATCAGAATCAGAATCAGAATCATTTTTTTTTCCCATTTTTTTTTCCCATAATTAATGAAAAACAACACAAAGTGCAACATAAGAAGGCACTTTATGAGGATATTTACCCTCATATATTACACCACCTTCCTGATTCTCCCAAGGAGGGGGTCCATTCTGGGCCCAGCCTCATTCACTGCATTTATTTAATTTTTAGCATTATCAGTTGTGACTGGGATATTAGTACTGGGCCTTTGTCTTCCATTCCTCCGCAGTACCTGCGCTGTGTGACTGTGTGACTGTCGTAGAGGGGGCGTGTCTTCAGCGCCAGACTTTTCATCTCCCAGTCTGCAGTGATGAAGTGAGCGGTTCCGCTCATGGATCTATTATAGGTTCCGCGGGACGTCCAAGCGTCAGTCGTGAGCGCAGCTGAGGATACGCGGGAGAGTTGACTTTAGCCCGGTCTGACTGTGCGTAAAGGAGCTGCTTAAATGCCGCGACAATAAGCGGTCGTTGAGACGCTTTTTTCACTCATGTCTTTCTTGTGCCACAGTGCTTACACATCGTGACAGTTTTGTCGAATATTAATTATCAGTGTAGTTACAGTGAAGCCAAAATGCTCTCATACTGGGGATTTAAATGACGCGGGGCTTTCAAGCATCTCCGCTCCTCCGCTCGCAATGACCGCGCTGTGTGTGGACTGAACAACGTGCGCACAACTTTTTTTTCATAAATCAAACCGCGGATAACGTCTGTACCGAACCGAAGACGTTGAACCGAACGGATCACGGATCAGTGATGAACCGTTGCACCTCTAGCTTACACTATGGGGAAACATGTCCGACACTGCCAAAGGGTTTTTATAGTGAGCGGGGAGTTCCTTAAAGCTTGTTAAGGCCAGACTGCTTCCTGTCATTAGATTTTCCAAATGGATAAAGTTTGGCATTCGTAACATGTAGCAGAACGTCTTGGTGTTAAAATAATGATCATTTGGACAAACTGTTCCTAGGTTGTAGCAGTATTGGGTTGACTTAACTTGAAACCACATGTTCTTTAGCCACATAGGTGGGGATATTTATAGTAGTATAAAAGTATTGGCTCAGTATTTAGCCAATGGAGTGTGTTAGTGTTTTGTAGATGTCAACAAATGACTGCATTCCATGAGCTACCCCACATTATTTCAAATTATCTAGGGCTGAGATTTGTGGAGCAAAACTGATCTTTGGCCACAAGATGAACTTTGTGATACTTGACTGTAATATTCTAGACAAAAACATGTAAGCAGAATAGGAAAATGTGTTTGAGAGCTTTTGGTAAAGCTGTACTGAAACAAACTTTAATTTGTAATGTGTATTTTATTTGTACAACGGTATTATACAATATATTTTTTATTTTTACAGAATGTGCACAGGGATTTACAGAGCAAGGATGACCTACTGAAAGGTAATGAAGGACAGTAAATGTGAATTATTCAAGTATTTTTAGTATGAGGGCCGTTTTTCATGGCTTTGAGTAAACAGGATAAGTTTTTTGAAATGTTGCTTTTTCTGTAGTTTCTCTGCCGCCAGAGCAAAGGCTTGAGAAGAGTAAGAATCTAAATGATGAAAACACCCGTTCAACTGTAAGTGTAACGTAATGCGTTATTTACCTTAAGAGAAATGTTGATGTCATGTGACCACTGTAATCATGTTACAGGAGGTGATGTTCACCTTGTGCAATGAAAGTAGCAATTCCAGCAAAGAGGTGAGTTATTTTGGCACAAACCTTATTCATTTTGACCTGTAAATAAAATGTTTTGTGAAGGAGATGTCCAACTTCTTGGATGGTGTTTGTCAAGCTATTGATGCTTCAATGAAACCATATGCAGACAGCACAACACTGAAACTCAAGATCGTCATAAGTTCTTCCGATGATCAAGGCAGAGATCATTTTGTTTATAATACAATTAGTTAATTATGTTAAAACAATACTTTTATTAATTATTTATTCAAATTTTGCATTTAGAGCGAGGTTCTCTTGTTGAGAAGTCACAGAAACACCTGTACTGTGCAGGGGAAAATATTGAACGCAGAAACCATTACCTGGATCTTGCTGGAATTGAAAATTTCAACTCCAAGTTTGAAGATGAAGGCAAGTACAGACAAGTCAACTACACTGCTAATTATTACAACATCAGTCATCAGTGTGAACAGGCAAACATGTTTTGATCTCCAGAAACCAAAACGGGAAGGTTTCACAGAAAATACTTTGAGCTGTGGGTATTGTTGGGAAAAAAAGAAAATAAGAATTGTTAAATTATTCTTACAGAATCTACCCGACAGAAACATAACTCTCATCAGCACCATTTTATGGGAACGACAAATCACTACAATCAAAAAGAGCCTCAATATGTTTCTACATTTAACTCTCAGAGGACTAGACCCGTGTGGAAAGGGGAAAATTCCAGCAGACTGCCAGGGTGTCACCCCACACCTCTGTGTCGTCATCAGTCCTCCAGCTTCAAGCTCCATCGATCCCAAAGCAAAAGGCTGCGTCCCCACGATCTCTCTTTGCCTCGCAGACCGGCCTGCTGCTATCACAAGAGCTGCCACAACCACGAGGCTCCTCTTCAGTCCTCCTCATGCTCTCCTTCGCTGAGACACGACCACCACCACCTGCACGAGCATCATCACCACCACCATCACCACTACCATGCTGCATGATGAGAAATGAAGACTACATCCAGCAGTAACTAAGATCACATGAGGTGAAAGTCTATTAATCTGTTTTGTTTTGTTGGTTTGAAGTATTTTAGAAACAGTGCTATTAATAGATTTGATATTCCTGCTATTTGTTGTTTGGAATTGGTCTATATGTGGGTCTAGAGTATTGCTTTGTCTATTCTGGTAGTGTTATCCTTACAATGTGGCTATGTGCATTCATAGTGACACATATTCAACTGGAACTTGGATGTTGTTCTTGCTCAACTTGAAAACTGCAAATAGACCCTGAACCAGGCAAGGGGAAGGACAGCTGCTTCTATAAATAGCCTCCGTTACCTACCACGAGACCATATCCTTATCACAGACAGCCTGGTTGTGTATAAGTTCAGAGCCTTCGGACACAAACAAAGAAGGCCGACATTCAACCTGCAGCCATGAAGTCGCTGCGATTCCTTGCCGCAGAGGGCTTCGTAAACATTGGTCCGGCAGCCATGGAGAACCTCTCATGTGTGTCTTTTAACGCCTATCCACTCCTTTTTAAAGCATGCTATCTTCATGAGCAGGCAGAGCTGTTGCATGTTCTTGTCCAGACCTGGCCACTGCCTGTTCTCAACCTGCAAAGACTTTTGGGAAAGACTGCAGACTGTCAGCTTGATCTCACCTCAAGCACATGCCGTCTCTGTCTAGAAGCAATAATCACTGGTCTCAAGGTACTAAACTTTATATTTTATTATTTTACAACTTACAAATGATTTATGCAAAAGTCATTGTTTCATTGCCATTGTGCCTTTTCCCCCCCGAAGGATTATGTGCTGTGCCCTCCAAAAACGTATGCAAAAGTTCTTCATAAAGTGGACCTGACAGCTTTGAAGGATGTTGAGCTTCAGGTCTGTCCATGCAAGTCAACTCTGGGCCGATGGGCAAGGACCCTCCTCCTCACCCAAATGTGTTATGAGACGATGGTGGCAATGCAAGACAGCAGTGTATCTCACACTGCTTTTGAAACCTCTGTAGATATCCATTTTAACGGTTTAATTACAGGTCGTAACTATGAGCCAGTTGCTCAGGCTTTGGTCCTTCTTCGTTGCTGTCCACTAAAGCTTCATTTTGATGGTTTCAGAGCTGATTCCCTTGATCTCAAACACCTATTTTATGTTCTTCGACTTGCAGAGCCCGAGTGCATGACTAAACTTGAAGTGGTACACAATGTTCCTCTTGAGGCTTCTCACCTGGAGGTTCTATTGTCCAGAGTAGAGTTTCCAAATATTCAGTCATTGACTCTTCCGGCCGCTGCATTTGACGTGAGGAGGAGTTTTGATGATGCAGATCTATTGGACACAATTGGAAAGCTCCTTTCCAAGCTGAATAAGCTGACTGAGTTGTGTATGGGATTTTCAACTCTTACGGGACAACTGCGCAGGCTGTTGAAGTGAGTAATACCATTATCAGTTGTGTCTAACATAATAATCTTAATCTTTATTCCTAGATTAAAAAAAAATGAATGTGTAATATTTTTGCACATTGAAAAATTAATTTTTTTAGGTTTGAATTTGAAAAAAGCTCATGTGGAAAATATGATATGAAACAAACAAGAATGAAAGGGTAATTAAATAAATAATATGACAAGATCGCTATGCTACCACTAGAGGGAGAAGTAAAAAATGTTTTTGCTTTTTTTCCAAATTCATTCATGTGATTTTAAAGAGCATAATTTCACTTGAGAAATTCCCTAAACTAATGTATAGGATCTAATATTTTAAAAGGCATGGTGTCACAGTAGTACATCGATTACAGGACTGGGACTTAAGCTTTTAGGAAGAAGGGAGATACATGCTTGCACCAGAAGTTCTTGATCATAGTGTGGATCGATCCGTAAACAACTTTGATGTTGTTGCATGATTAAATCCTAAAACAAGTAGATTTTACATATGTCTCCTTTTAGTTATGATTTTCAGTATAAAGAATTTGTGTGCAATGCAGTAGAGGCACAATCTGATATCAATAAGTAATTAAGTCAAGTATCAATGTCAAAGCTGATTGGACTGTTAACCCTCACTTAATGACCCCTGATTAGTCAACAACTTTGATATTTATCCTGGACTCTTAATTGCTTGGTGATTTGAGATCGATGGTTCTAGAATCTATACTTTTTATACCAAAAATCAAACTATTTTAATAGCTCTGTATTAAAGATAAACATTCTTATGATGCAGAAACACAGATGTGTCCTCGTTTGTCCTGTACATCTAAAATGGGTTGTGATGGACATTTTAAAAAACACAGGCCGTCATAACTTGTAGCCACAAAATCATTATGGGATAAATGAGAATCACTTTGATCTTCCTTATCGCTGTTAGTGGCTGCTGGTCAACACTGTGTACAGACAGCCGCATGCATCCCAGCTCAGAGCTTCTGGTTAAAAATATAATGTGGATCATAAATGAACAAACATCATTCAACATAGATGTCTGTCTTTGAATCGATAGAATGCTTAATATTTAAACATTCTTTTATTTCTCAGCCCACTGAATACACCTCTGAAGTGCTTGGAGTTGGCCAACTGCAGCTTGAATCGTGTGGACATGACATATTTGTCTAACAGTCTCCACAGTGAGAATTTAACACATTTGGACATCAGTGGGCATGACATCTTTGTGCGTTTCTCCACATCTTTCCACAAACTTCTCAGTCGCTGTTCCGACTCATTGGTCAGTCTAACAGTGGAAGAGTGTGGAATTGAAGATGAACACCTGAATGCATTTACAAATGCCCTCGTGTCCTGCAAACACCTGGAGGAGCTAAAGTTAATGGGGAACCCTCTTACAGGCACATCTCTGAGACAGTTATTTTCGGTCCTATCTGCAGGTTTTCCAAAGTTAAGGTACATTGAGTTACCAATCCCTCGTGAATGCTATCCAATTGATGTCACATACCCTCTGGAAGATTCTGTCTTGATAGAGTACAACAATGATCTGTTTCAAGTGGTGAGGAGCCAGTTAATGGGGATTCTTGAGGGCAGTGGTAAAGGTGACGTCGAGGTGTCTACACCACTTTTAGGAGCTTTCGATGCAGAAATCAATGAAATCAGCAATGAACTTGGCGTATCCATGTTAAAATCATTTAATACAGTAATTGGGACATTCATTGGCAATGTAACTGCATTAAATCTCAGAAGAACACAATCACATAATTAGATGACCTTGTGAGTGCAAACCTAAAATAAAGCTCAAATATATTTTGTCGGGTCAATAACATGCATAATTCAAATGTGAATGTTTTAAACTGGTACGAAGTCTGTACAAACTATTACTCATACATTTATGACAGTTTGTGAATAAAGTTTCTTTAATTTACATTTAATGAGCAGTTTAATTACACAAATACGACAGTGGATCATTTAGTCAAGACTTGGGGATGTTTGCAAAGTCATCTACTTTTTCATCCATTCTTCCCTCTCCTTCCTTTCGCGGATGACCTCTTCCAAGTATGGAGTCAGATAATTCACATCCTGAGGGAGTTAACAACAATGATCAATTGTATAAAGCAGCTGTATAATCTCAAACTTATAGCAACACGCACATCTGTGGGTTTTCAACATGGAAATTATGTAATTGCAAGAAACCATAAATTACCTCTTCATATTTCGTCCACTGGTCCTTGGGGAGGATCTGCACCTTCATGGAAAGGTCCAGGGCTCTCTTGATCCTAAACATCCTGTCGTTGTACACGTTTTCTGGGAGTCTAGTAATGGCCTCTTTCACATCTGGGTCTTCGTACAGTGTATCATCTCGCATTAAGCCTGCGAACAGTGAATACTGAGTGTCACTGCGCTCCTGTGTAGAATGTGATGAAGATAAACTTACTACATACCAATTTTGTTGAAGCCAGACATGTTATAGTACCATTTTCGCAAACCCATCAGGAGTCTGCCTGATGCAGCTGTCAACAAATGAAAAAATATATGAAATAATGCTGAACCAATAAACAACCTTATTATTCAGCTTAGAGCATGAACACGGCCTAATGCTAATGAAGGAGTTCCATGGATATATCAGTCGACATCAGCTAGCCAAAGCTAACACAGGGGCATCAAAGGACATTCCCGGTTAAATGTATAAAACCAACTATTCAAGCGGACACATCACTTAGATTATTGAAAATCGACTACTATCGTTAGAATTACACGTTTTCAATAGGCAACAGGGCTTTAAAACTCGTTAAAACGGTAAAAAACAAAAAGGACGAATATCGTTTACCTGGTGCCCGGGCCGCCATGTTGAAATGTGAAAACAGCTGCCGCGGTGGATTCTGGGTAAGGACTATGGCTGAGGATGTAAATAGTAACCTGACATTGATGTGTCAGACTGTAAATGTTATGTTATAATGTCCAGAGATTGATTCCTGACGTTAGGCCTTGTTTAAGGTCTTTGTTTTATTTTGATATGTGCAAGTAATTTGTTTGTGAGGCTGTTTTGTTTGCTAACTCAATATTAAACTATATAATTGTTAACCATTGTATTTAACAATCATTTTCATTTTTTATTTCTACTTTTGAAAACAGTATTTACAATTAACTAGGAAGGCCACCCCACCCCCCATCATTATTACTTATTTATGTCTTTTAAATGTTAATACATTACTAGATATAATATCAAAGTGTACTGTGTAACACATTAATAAGACATTTGTATATTTATTTTTTTATAACAAACAACACACATGACACAAATAAACACACACTAAATGTTTAGGTTATTGGACGCCATGGACAGAAATAAGCAATTTCAACAACTATCACTGTTTGCATAATTATAAAGTTTTTTGGAACAAATAAAAATCTTCTAATTTGGCAGAAGCTAGTTCAGAACAAAAGGTTTCATCCGGTAAAGATATCAGGTTGTTGAGGGCGATGTAGTTTGGCTGAGTTGGATCATACTGTGCTTTCCCCAGATATTCAAGGAACAGATGCCGTTCTTTGAGGCGCAAATATTTTGAATTCAGAACCTATGAATTACAAAATGTATTCAATTCATATAAAAGATTGAACTAAAAAACATTTTAGATAGAGCTTACCTGAGGGAACTTTACAATCCAGTGATGGGGAACCTTCATGGTATTGTGGAGATAATCAAACATTTGTATTAGCTTCTTCTTATTCGCAGTGAGGACTTTTGGGACAGCCAGGATTATGTGCTGAATCTCATTCTTTTTAAAGCCAAGTTCGATTTCACAAACCTGAGAATGTACACATAACAATCTCAGGATTTTTTTTTTTTACAAGGCTAGTTTCTACAATAATTAAACTAAAATACCTTCAGGTTTTCCTTCACAGGTTCCAAACTACCACACAACAATCGAGGAAGACGAGAAACAATATTTCTTGTCTGGAAAAAAGGCATATTCTTATATGTGTTGAAATTGTTTAAAATACTGTAAACAAGATTTTGAATTATTACATTTTCAACGCTTAGGTTGAGCTGTTGCTGATAGAAGCCAATGCGGTTGTCCAGTCTCTTCACACTGAAGTTGAGCAGATATGGCGCTCTGGACACCATTGATGCAACTTCCTCTGAATTGAACTTCTTTGACTTGAGGTAATTCACCCTTTGATGACAAATATTAAAACTTTAATATATCACATTTGGCTGAAGTGAATTGGAGGTTTACAAATCTTGCCTTGCTTCCAAGTTTTGTAAAGTTTGGGTTAAAATAAATGGATTGTGCGAGACAATATAGCCGAGACGACTGTCCTCAACCCCAATGTCTTTGAGGAACAGCAGCTTTGGTACAACATCAGTGTCAAAATCAAGTTTCAAAAGCATAGAGCCCACATTTTGCCTTTGTTCAAGCTTCCAAAGATTTACACCTAGGAAAGATTATGTATTATGATCAGAAACACTCATTAAGCAAGCCATGTAATTTATCATAATCATACACATCCAATCGAAAGGATGTTTTAAATGTACATAAATGCATAAATGTACATGCATGCATATAAACAAAAATATTCATCTATACCTTGTACGAACAACAAACAATGTATATATTAATATTTCACCTAGCTGAACGAGTTTACGTAGAGTCTCAGATTGATCAACATAGTCTTTCAGTGAAGTGGATGACGGGGGCAGAGCTGTGGGAACAGAAATTGTGGCGGTTTCCTCTTCATCAATTTCCTCTAATGTTGGGAATTCAGCTTTAGTATCAACATCTGAAAATTAAGGAAAACGTCAGCCTTCACATTAGATTGATCATTGTAGCGATCATTGTACCTATTGACGTGTTTTCTGTGCCCTGCAATACACTTTTGTTAGACACAAAAGTTGTTGCTGGATTGATTAAATCTAGATGTTTAACAGAATGACACAAATGCCGCATTCTGGTTCCTCTTTGGGTTCCTCTGGGTAGTGAAGTTGAGCAGGGGTGAATGAAATGACCCACATGCTGCGTGGAAATCCTTATTCCAAAAAGAGTTCTGCCTCTCAGACACAACAGCAGACACCCTGGGCCCATTTCGATTCTGCAATATATTATAATAATACATACAGGTATCGTGGAATTGTAGATTACACGTACAAGTTAATTCAATAATTTCAATATCAAATGATATCGGGATGAGATGCTCGTCGTGTCTACTCATGAGAGTCTACTTTATAATTGCAAGATTAAGAACAACAGCTACAACAAATATCAATTACATAAATTAAACGAATAAAACGCCAGAACCTGTTGTGTTCTTGAAGATGAAGCGGCAGATGACAACAAACTGTTTCACGTGCAACCCCGGAAGAACATGAACGCAGTGTTCATGTTTGCTGCATCTCCCTCTAGTGGCCAGTATCAGAGGTGCGTCTGTGGGCGCACCTCTGTATATAATTGTATATTGCGTTCAAGAACAATTAGAGGGAAATGTGTATTTCTACCCATTAGATAGATAGGCATTAGTTCGAGGATCACTGTACTAGCAGTTACTTAGTGCACCCGTAAGTGGTATTGTTTATTCTGAATAAATTAAAATATTAACATTTACAGTGATTAGTATCATATTAAAGTCTATGGTTAAATGTTATTTAAATATTTAGAGGCATACTTTATGACAAATAGATAAAACCCCATGTGATCATTTGAATGCTGATATAAATATTCAAATATCAACAACATATATAGCGTACACTTATTTGTGTTTATTGTTTGACACACTTGAAACATTTTATTCAGAAAAATGTTATTCAAAACATAAACACCATCGATTCAGCCATGTTTCTTATGCTGCCATGTAGGTTGGGGTGACACCGTAGACGGTTGGTTTGGGCTACTCGGTAAATGACTACATTTCCCACAAGGCCTCAGTGATCAGCCGCGGTGCTGGATGACAGCTATCCGGCGCTGCACTCGGCAGAGCAGACTACAAGGGCCATCATGGCAGCCACGGGTGGAGGGAAAATTAGGAGCAGAAGATCGCACATTGCTTCTAAACCCTACGCCAAGAATAAACAGGTAAACTACAACAAAGTACCCAAGGGGGAACCATGTAGCGACCAAGCCCCCAAAACGGTGGCCTGACATGGGTTTTATCCATGTTATTGTTTTCATGAAGGCATTTATGGCCTGCTCGTGGCCTCCACGCGTTGTTAGCATGTCCGGGAAATCTAATGTGTTAGCATGTTAACGCTAGATGTATGAGCTACAAAAGTCAGGTGTCGCTGTCATGTTGGGGTCTTAGTAATAATCACAGTTTGTTGTGGTTTTGTGTTTGCTGTGACTTGAGGAGCACGCCAATTCATCACGTTTTGTGTAATGCTAAAGGAAGGGAAGGAAGTGGATTTGTAACACTTAGCGCGCTACTTATCTTTAGCTAAAAGCTAACTGCGAGCGGTGCATTGTTGTCTCAAGATTCTAACTTTCACAGCTTTGTTATTAGATATGTCATCGTTTGTTATTTACGTAATCAAACTCTATACAACACTCGGCTCAAGTTTTGTGTGTAATTAGGCTAAAGTCCCTTAATGTTTTCTCCATAATGACAGTGAACTGCCTCTTGGCTCCGGGTAGCTAAATCTCAGCTGGATTGCGCAGGAACCATTGGCTCTTTCCCACATGGCTGTGTGTGCGTCAGGTTGCCGCTACATATGCACTGTGTTTACCTGGACCACACTCCCAAACTCCTTGATTCATGCAATGTTTTGATGGCCATTCATATAACAATGAATTACTATTGTTTTGAAGAGTTGATTTGATTAGTATATGTCCCAACTATTTTTTCTAAACTCGTATGACCTGTTAATGAACTGTGACGACACTAAATAGCCATTGGTGTCAATCAATTATTTTACGTTTTATTTGTATTCATTATTTAAACTTAAACATAACGCATGTAGAAGATTATCAAATAAAGTCATTTTAAATTTAGATTTTAAGGGATGTTAGAAATTTGTCTACTATTTTGCTTTTGGAAAATTTGAATAAATCTCCTTACTGTAATCAGCAACATTTTAAAATGTTGTTCTGTAATCAGACATTTAAATTATGTTACATGTTATTATGTTGTTATCCATGCTTTAAATTAAAGTGTTCTGCTTCTCTTGGTACTGTGCAAGCTTTTTGTTTAAAGTTTTGATCATTGTGTACTGGCTTTAGAGGCTTGGGTCATAAAGAAAAGCAGCTCAGCTCAGTTTGCAGAATAGTTCCCACACAATCTTTTCTGTAGTTGTGTATCACAAAGCTGGGCTTGATATTGCTAAGAACATGCAACAAGCAACCAAATTCAGGATTTTAAATCTGATGCTGGTCCCAGTATTCTGACCTTCATACAATGCGTCTTCCTATACAGTTAGTTTACTGAATTGATTATTTGATTTTCAGAATAAATAAATGCGTTTAAATATTATGTTCACAATGCCCTTAATATAATATTAGAGTATATAATAGGATAGTAGCCTGAGGGTGAAATAAATATCCCATAAATCCTTTCCACAACTCTGAAGGAAAACAGCCGATGAGAACTGTGACATTTGTGGTCACTTCATCTTCAGTAGCTGTGTTTACTCTTAGGCTAAAGTTCATTGCTGTTCTTAGTGTAGTTTACAGATAAGCAGAACATAAGGGGCCCCTTTGTCATCACAAGTTGTTATTTGTCGAGATCGTGAATCGTTGCCATGTAATGACAGTAGTAAAACTTCTACTGACATTTCACATTTTATGAATACATGAGTGGTGTCTTACTTGGAATCGGTTATGAAGGAAGACGCAATTTTTCAACCTTCTTGACCCAGTTTTGACAATTGTGGGAAACAGTCAAAACTGAAACTAAACCACCCAAAGTGGCAGGAACTGAGCTGTGAAGGTCCTGTCAATTATTTTTGTCTAGGCTCACTACAAAGCAATAATATACTGCTGCTAAATTATTTGTATTTTTGTTTTTCATTTTTTATTAAATAAACAACATAACAACATTCAAAACCTGTTTAATACATCGTAACCACAGACATTCTGGGGCCCCTCCTGCTCTGATTACTGATGCAGTCCACTTAATCAGGTTTTGATATAACAAACAAGCTGGATTCCTACAAAGGAACTGGCAACCCAAATGAAACTTGTGTGACGGTAATTCTGCTTTCTGATTGGATAATTGTCTTGCAAACCACTATATTTATTGTTGGCTTACATTTTGTGGCCATCATTTCCATTCTATATTTTATATACACGTTCATTCTAAATTAAGACTGAATCCTCTTATTTCTCATTGGAAAAAGCCAAAAATGATTTGTACTTGGCCTTATGTTTGGGGAGGAGACACAGATGAAATATGAGGATGTAATTTGAATTAAAATCTTGCATACTGTCTCTTTTGAAGGTTATACAATATGATACATTGTATTTGTGTTTTCCGTAGCAGCAGACGGGCTTGATCAGCCGAGTCACCGATACAGTGAAGAGCATAGTCCCAACCTGGCTGCAGAGATATTTTAACAATGAAGGAGGTTCACCAGGAGCTTCTGAACAAGGAACAGAGCAGAACTGTCAGCCATCTCTTCCTCCCAACGGCAGTGAAGAGGGGCCACCGCCTCTAGATGGACGAGACTCCCCAGAGCCCAGCACCAGTAATGCAGGTCCGTCTACTGTTTGCTCTTTGCTGTCATCTGCTCTGCTGGAGAGCATGTTCGAGCTCATGTGTCTTTCTCCTTCAGAACCTTCGACGAGCCGCGCATCCCTGAACTTTCAGGAGTATGTGCTGTCCCGGCCTCCTCTCAGCCGCTCTCATCTCCACTTTCCCCCACTGGACACGTCGTCTCCGGCCCCTGGGACATCCACTGGCCTCTTCTCTCAGCCATCCACTTCCTCTGCCCCCGGTCCCTTTACCACAGGTTTCTCCTTGGTCAAAGAAATCAAGGACAACCTCTCACAGCATGAGGATGATAATATTTCCACAACAAGTGGCTTCTCATCTCGTGCATCAGACAAAGGTATTAAAACAATGTAGACAACAAGTGATCTGTTGTGAACACTATATAGAATTATTGGTAATTTCAGGAATAGTTGCCCTATGATCGGCCTGGCAAAATCTATCACAAACTCTGAGCAGAAGCTAGGGCCAAGGACTGAAAAAAACATTGGAAAAAAATAAACATGTCCAACAGATAATTCTTCTAGTATTATATATATAGTATTATATATAATTCTAGTATAATACATTTTGGAGTGGCAAATCAAGCAGAATAATTACGGCTTCACATTTACAAATTGTTCTCTATATTTTACAGATGTTCCAAACTCTAAAACAGCGTCCCTTCCTCAGCTGTGGTCTCCAGAGATGGAAAGAACACATTCTGGCCACCACTCGTCTCAGGCCAGCATGAAAAAGCCTTCATTTAACTTGTCTGTTTTTGGCAACTCTTCTAATGTGAGTTATACATTAAATGAAATGCAATTAATCAATATAGTGTATTCCGGAGGGGGTAATTTAGGCAGTAAACAATTGGGGTACATCACTTTTTATGGTTTCTATGTTTTACGCTGGATAACAATCAGTTGTTCCAGATAGGATTTGAGTGGGGATCAAAGAAAACAGATTATTGCACACAATCAGACCTTGACTGATTTTTCAAACAACCTTGGTGCCAGCTAATGACATAAGGACAGCCAACCATTAAAATGGAAAAATAATAATGTATTGCAGTTTTGAACTGTATGTGTTTACACATCTCTATTGTCTCTGCAGTCTACATTAAACAGCACAATCCTAAATTCAAGTCAGCTTGGAGATTCTCCTTTCTATCCTGGAAAGACGACGTATGGTGGTGCAGCGGCTGTCAGAAGCTCCCGCACTCGTCCTGGAACCCCTTACCAGGTTGGTGGCAGCATTAGGGCTCAGGATGGACTACCGTCCAATAATAAAAAAAAAAATTAAATATACTCGTAGTTAGTGAATGTAATATTTTTCATTGACATCAAATTAACAACCAAAATAAATTCATTCATAACTTATAATTATTTTGATGATTCATACATTTATAAAAAAAAAAAATCCTTTGATTGGTCAAGTTGTTGGAACAAGAACACTACATTTTTGTCTTAGACAAGATTTTGAAAAATGCATAGAATGACCGTTTCACTGTAGAATCACTGTTTTGAAGTCTGTTTATGGAGAAATAAACAATAACTAAAATAGTTTATTAGAAATATATTAGTTTGCAATAATCATTACAGCCCTAATTACCATTTGTAATCCTGAGGTTGATTGTACGGTGAAAATACATGATTTATTTGTGTAGGCCCCAGTGAGAAGACAGATAAAGGCAAAACCGGCTGGTGCCCAGCCCTGTGGCGTGACAAGTGCAACTGCACGACGGATACTACAATCTCTGGAGCGCATGTCCAGTCCTTTAGCTGTAAGTTTGCACTTCTAAAATAGTCTGGATTAGATACAATTAAACATACATTTTTCACCTTCTCACAGGATGCAAGAAGGATACCTTCAATGGCAGCATCTTCTCTGTCACCAGTAAGTCATGAAAGCAACATTCTGTTTTGAATGTTTAAGACCTAATACTGTTTTAAACTGTCTTTCTGTAGTCACTGGAAGACCCAAATATAGAAGTTTCTCCATTTCAAGCAAAAAAGAAACGGGTAAGTGCTGATCTTGAACTGTATTCACACAACTACACAGTGAGTTTTCTTCCATGAACAGTAGTTTGATTGTTGTGACCCTGCAGCATTTGTTGAGCTGTGTCTCCCTGTCAGCCGCCTGTTGGCCTGTTCAGTTAACTTGATTCCCCACACAGCTGTTCACTTCAGTCTTCCTTGTTTTTGTTATCATTATCAAACTTGAAACATGTCCTACGAGACTATATGGTTTATGCATATTTTCAAGTAACATTTAAAAAAATGCCCTTTATAATAATGCATTGGTTTTATTTATTGTTTTTTCATACCACTAATAGCCCAGCCAGCTGCCCACATGTGCCTTGTACCATCCAAAGACTAACCAGAACCTGCACTGCTTAGCTCCCGAGATCTGAAGAGTGCAGGATACACTGACCCAGAAATGGATTAAGGGGAAGAAAATGGATGGATGGATGGGGAAAAAAGTTACTTTGTTGAAGGTGTAGGAACCTAAGGCTACCTCGCGATACGATACGATACAATACACGATACAAAGCTCACAATAACGATAATCTCACGATATGACGATTATCGATATATTTGTTAGTAATATACCATATGCCAATTTATGGCATAAATAAAAGAGAAATTTAAGTGAAAAAATACACTTTATTTCATGATAAATGGAATGGAGATCCGTAATGTAACCATATATTAAGTATTGATACAATTTTTTTCTTTTTCAAAATCGATATCATAATCGAATCGTGATATATCGATATCGCGATATATCGTTACACCCCTACTTTGTAGTCTGCCATGGAGTTGGTGATGATTACTTCCGGTATCTGATTTGTTGGTTTAAATTATGTTGAATGAAAACATAAAAGGTCTCTGTCTGGATCTTGAAATATTTTTAGGAATGGAACCACATTTCTAGTGCTTTTCAAGTTAAATCATCTAGTTTTTATCATTAAAATAGTGTGTGCTTGCATGATTTTTCTTGTTAGTAATTATAATTTTGATGGCTGAGAATTATATCAGAAACGCCTTATACATGCAGCAGGGTTGATATTGGTGGTAGATGAGAGGATGAGCCACAAGGCAGCAGAGCTGTAGCAGCCTGTGTGTTTGGTAATGAAGTCTTGTTTGTACATGTGATACAGATGGAAAGCCTTCCCCCGGTGCAGAAGTTGACAGTGCCCTCAGTTGCACCTGTGTCAACAAACCGGTCGGTGGCCTTCAGGCCCACTCTAACCCCCGGAGTTATGAGCCGAGCCCTGGACAGGACTCCAAGGAACACAGTTAGTACTGCATTTGACAAACACATTGCTAAATGCATTTCAAAAATATTCTGCAAACAGAGGTTAGATGTCTGATATTTCTACCTTTTTATAATCTATTCCCACAGCCAACAAGACAATCGCCACAACTACCAGAAATGACACCATCTACAAGGTAATTTATCTTAACCTTAATAACAATTCAATTGTTCAAAGTTAGCAAAATCTCACAGTTGTTGTTTTCCCTTCCCAGCACATTTGGGTCTGGTGCTCATAGTTACCCTCTTTCTAGCACACCTGCAGCCAGTGCAGCAAGCTCTGGAGGGGGGAAAATGAAGAGAGAAAAGAGCACTGCCCGACCCTCCTCCAAACGTCAAGATGATGACGAAGTGAGATTTACTATATTTTGTTGAATAAACCCATGTGCTGTGCATCTAATACATTGCACAGTAAATCATGTATTAATATGATCTTTTTTTAATAAAGTTAAAGGGTGTGAGCTGTGTGTGGTAAACTGTATAAAGCTTGATGAGCAGCGGAGTGTGTTTAAAGTGTGTGACTCGCAGCTCGCTCACACCCAAATCATTTTTGATGCTTACTTTGCAAACTCATTTGAATTCTGTTTTGACAGTGCACTAAAATAAACACACACACAGATCAGTAATAGTATTGTATGTGTGTATTTTTATTATCAAAATATGAAGTCTCATATGTTGTTTATTCATGTTACAAATAAGTTACACGCCTTTAGTTTCAAAGAATTAACAATTGTGTTTGTCCTTTTAGATTGCTGAGGCACCAGACTTGCCAGCCATTTCACTCCCCATAAGCAGCTCTGCTCTGCCTACCTTCACGTTCTCCTCCCCTTTGGCCACAACCACATCCAGCCCTGCCCCCACCACACTCACCGTAACCCCCATCAAGGAACCCAGCAAAGTCATAAATATGGTTTGTTAATTCATCCACTACTAATGCCACTTTTCCACAGTCCTAGTACGGTACGTTTTGACTCTACACGGCGCGCCATGGCCCAGTTCGCGTGATTTTCCATCAAAAATAGTACCCCCAGTATGTCCTCAGCGTTGTCAGACCACGTCATTTACGTGTGACGCGTAACTAGTACTGGTGCGGTGCATGGATTTATTATAATATCAGAGCAAGTGTTTAATAGAAAATTCAGCACAGCACGAGTAGTTTTTGAAAATGCTTATGTCTTAAAAGAATGACTCGGAAACTGTGAAGTCAATGGTGCTGACTGTTCTGTACAATCTGAATGGACCTTTAGCAACAGCAGCCTGTGTAGCAGAGGAGGAGGGCTGCATGTCCGAGGATACTGCTAGGCTATAGCTAATGCCAGCGCTAGCTCAAGACTCTGCTCACTCACTAACGCTGGATTCCGAAGCTACTACTATACTACACTTAACACATCTATCACTGCCCTCAGAGGAGGATCCAGGGTTTAAACTCGTCATATGGCAACTCGAGCAGTAAAGGACCGAGGGAGAGACAGCGGCAGCCATAGGGGTAGCGAGTTAGCGGCTAGGCTAGGCTAGGACTTGGGTCCGGACTACAGCAGACTCAGAGACCAGACAAACAATCGATGCCCAAACCTCAGCTACAATAATAATAAATGAATGAAACAGTCTTGATACAATCACAGATTTATTCAAAACAAAAGTAAAGTGCAAAACCAACAGTTTACAAAGTCAAAAGTACGTATGTGTGAGACCAGGTCCAGACCAGGTCCAGACCAGGTCCAGATGAGGAGAGTACTCCGGTCACTCATTACTCGTTGGTAATCTCTATACTTATGGAAAGGGATTCTCATACAAATATACACACAACTTAAATACAAGCACAAAACAGAATGACAACACGTGAATACTGCAGATAATACGAGCTAAACGTATTATCTGCAGTATGTCTGAAGGACGTTAGCTTAGCTGCTATCAATAGCTAAATGAAGCTAATTGTAGCTAGCTCACTGTGTACAACAGACAATCGAGCATTTACACAGTAAATACATTTCAGTGAGAGCTTTAACGGGATTCGTAGCTAACCAGTTATTTCCAGGATTACCACAGACTAGTCACAAATCCAGAGCTGGTGATCTCTCTGAAAACTGTGTTGAGCCTCGAGCTGCCTTTTGAATTCTTTCTTTTGGCCTGAAGAGAGGAACGTGTGGACCTCTTCCACCGACCAGGACCAGGACTTTTGGGGCTTTCTGTGCAATTCCATTTCTCTGGAGTGTGGAGGACGTAATGTAGCCGAATCAGAGCCGAGCAGAGCAGCCTGTTTTAAAGATGGCAGTTGAGTTGTTTTTCCCAAAGGGTCAGATGTCGCTTCCAGTGACGACACTCGTTGACCAATCGGTGTAAGGCAGTGGGCCGACGTGACGTCATGGCACAGGTACTATGGGGATGGAACCAAGGCTGAGGCAGTACGGAAAAGTACGCAAATCTCCCATACCATCCACTAGTGGAAACGCAAAATAACCGCGCTGAAGCATACTGTACTGTACCGTACTGATACTGTGGAAAAGCGGCATTAGACAAACTCCAAGTCAATGCAATGGTTCATAATTGTCTTTCTTTTACAGGAACACTCTGTAGCATCATCTCCACCCAGTTTACCGTTCACGTTTTCTTCACCTATTGTTAAAGCAACTGCTGCTAGCCCACCTTCCTTTTCCTCAACAGTATGCATATTTCACCTAAACAATTCAATAAGTTAATTTTCATCAGATATGTTAATGGTTAACTTTATTTCTAGGGTGGATATACCTTCAGTGCACCTGTAGCAAAGTTGGGCCCTTCTGTATCGAATGGGAACAGCAGTTCACCTCCATTTGCTTCAGGTTTGAATACATTCCTATTGTTTTTGTCTTAATTATTTGGAACAATATCATCACGGGCAATTATCTTCATAGGGAAAACAGTAACAACCAAAAGCACAGAGGAGTTTGAAGGACCCTTCAAACCCGCCAAGACCCTAAAGCAAGGGAGTGTTCTGGATCTTCTCAAAGATCCAGGTGAGTCCTCAAGTTAATCCAATGTTTAGAAGCTCTTTCCACATCCTGCAAAATCATGCATTCATTTCCTCTTGCAGGTTTTTCTGCTTCTGGCACAAGGGAATGTGATGCAGTTGTGACTTCTACCCCTTCTTCATCCTCTACTACCACAATCTCCCCATCAGGACTAACTGACATTTTCAAACCACAGCCAGGCTGGAGCTGTGACGTCTGTTTGGTGCGGAACAAACCCACAGATACAAAGTGTGTGTGTTGTTCTACCTCTCAGCCCTCCGACAGTAAACCAGCTGCGCCTCTATCAACCACCACCTCCACCTCGTCGCCTGTGGGCTTTGGGAATATCTTTGCTAAACCAATAGGAACTTGGGACTGTGACACATGTCTGGTTCACAACAAACCGGAGGCTGTGAAGTGTGTGGCTTGTGAAACGGCAAAGCCTGGGACAGGACTCAAGTCGTCTCTTACTCTTCCTTCTGCTTTCTCGGCTGTAAAGTCTCCAAGTCCAAATCCACTTTCTACAGGATCAATTGGATTTGGTGACAAGTTCAAACCGCCAGAAGGCTCGTGGAAATGTGGAATATGTATGGTGCAGAATAAGGGGGAGGACTCGAAGTGTGTGGCATGCACAACCCCTAAACCTGGTAATGTTATGCCTCGAACAATTTGTGATATTAGATTTTTATTTTTTTTAATTTTTACTAAAATGTTGTTACTTATGATTCAGGGGCATCAGGAACATCTACAACGGAGCCCGCCGTAGCAGCCTCTTCTGCGGCACCATCATTGCCCACTAGTACTCCTGTATTTGGCTTTGGTGACAAGTTCAAGAAGCCAGAAGGTGCCTGGAGCTGTGACGTTTGTCTGCTGAGCAACAAAGCCGATGAGGTCAAGTGTATTGCTTGCCAAACACTAAAACCTGGAGCCAATGTAGAATCCAAAGGTATCTTGTTGTACATTGTATTCTAATATTACATTGATGTTTATTAATGTTATGTTGATACCATTTCCATGTGTGATCCTGTTTTGTTTATCCAGCCTTTGGTTCGTCGACAGAGACTAGCACCTCCACTTTTGGCTCTTCTGCATCCAGTGATATTAAGTTTGGCACAACAGACGGCAGCTACATAGAGGTTGGAGGCTTCAAATTTGGGGGTTCATTTCCAGATACATCTTCAACATCAGGTGGATTTAAATTTGGAACTTCTTTTGGGAATTCCTTTTCTGAAACGAAAGACACTACTGCTTCATCAGGGTTTAAATTTGGCACTTCATCTGAGGGCTTTAAATTTGGGACTGCCTCAACTGGAGACAAGGATTCAGAACAACCTGCTCCTACATCTGGGATTAAATTTGGAAGTGGAGGTGGAATAGTTTTTGGGACCGGATCCTCAAACACAGAAGATGGCCCATCAAAAGGAGGATTTACATTTGGACTGTCAAAACCTGAAGAGAAAAGTACTGACAGCACTTCAACCCCGACTGTTGCTTTTGCTCCCTCTGCAGAGAAGAGCGACAGCCCGGCACCCTCAGCCTCAGCACTGACCGATAGTAGCACATCCACCATCAGGTCCATCACTGAACCTAGTACTGGCCCTTTATTCGGAAGTTTGACGACTTCAACTTCAGGGTCTGTTGCTTTTGGATCATCAGCTGAAAAGGAGACACCTGCACCCACATTTACTTTTGGAAAACCAGAGGAGAAGGAGGAGGCTTCTCCCGCTCCATCTGGCTTCATGTTTAGTGCGGCCAATAAAGACCCAGCGCCGGCTCCTGCCTCGACTGGAGGGTTTTCCTTTGGCAAAGCCTCAGCTCCTGCAGTTAAGCCCACCTTTGCCTTTGGCAAGCCTGCAGACAAGCCTGAGTCCTCTACATCAGAGCCTCCTAAGCCAGTTTTCAGCTTCGGGCAAAATGCGGCAGGTAATCACATCAATATTGGATATGCTTATTTCATGTGTAACATGTCCTGAAATATGACCAAAAAAATTGTTTTATCTACAGAATCGACAGCTGCTCCAAAACCAGCATTTTCCTTCATGGCGAGTAATCCTACAACATCCTCCACTTCTACGCCGACACCCACTCTGTTTGGAAACAGCAGCACCACCTCTGCTCCAGCGGCGGCTCCTTCTCCTGTGCCCAGCACATTTGTGTTTGGTCAGCCGGCCTCCTCCAACACTGACCCACCCCAAACCAAAGCCTTTGTATTTGGTCAAAGTGCAGACGGTCAACCGGCCGCGCCGTCAACCCCCGCCCAGCCCTTTATCTTCGGAGCATCTGCAAATGCTGCTCCTGCTGCGCCCTCCTTCAACTTTGGTGGAGGCGCACCCCCTGCTGCTGCCTCTACAGGTCTGTGTTTAAATCAAGCCTATAATTTTGCTGCTGCATGACACCTGTTTGATTTTATACCATTTATCTTTTTGTGCAAATTAAGCTCCCCCTGCTGCCCCTTCACCATTTGTCTTCAATCCAGCATCTTCTGGCAGCTTTCCTGCCAGCCAGACTCCCTCTTTTGGTTCTTCAT